AAATATACATGGCCAAAGATACACCATTTCAAAAATTTCTACATGCACAGTTCAGTAACATCGACTACACTCTTCCAATTGTGCTACTAGTCTCACTTTAGATGAAGGCTTACAGAACAAAGTAGTTTCTCATTTAACAGTTAGCACACATGTTGCCCTATGACAATGGTTAACAACCTCACAACACATCAACACTATCCTTACTCAACCTTGAGTTCCCTATCACCAGGTTTCCTGTCCCCTTCTGCTTTCTGGCCCTTGTCCCTGGACTGCTGTGCCTCATTAGTCCCATTTGGTTTTATGGGGCTGTACACGCCCCGGCTAAACAGTGAACCTTGGAAATGACTTCACTGAGCTAAAAGGGTGTCTGGGGGCCATACATATGTCTACATTTTTTAAGTCCCTCTGTTTTGTTTTAATGTTGTCATGTTTTACATATTCACATCTGTTTCCCTATTTTCAGTGCTTTAGCTTTAATTTACTTTTGTGACTTCCCTATCTGGGTTGATATCTGGTTGCTCTGTCCTGTGTTCTAGTCTTGGATTGTTATCTGATGTTACTGATTTTCTAAGCGGAGGACTCCCTTTAGTATTTCTTGTAATTTTGGTTTGGTTTTTGCCAGTTCCCTAAACTTCTGTTTATCTGGAAATGCCCTAATTTTGCCATCATATTTGAGAGACAGCTTTGCTGTATATACAATTCTTGGCTGGCAGTTTTTTTCTTTCAAGGCTTTATATGTGCCATCCCATCGCCTTCTTGCCTGCATGATTTCTGCTGAGTAGTATAAGCTTATTCTTATTGACTCTCTTTTGTAGATGACTTTTCATTTATCCCTAGCCGCTCTTAAAATTCTCTATCTTTCGTTTTGATAAGGTTGATTATAATATGTCTTGGTGACTTTCTTTTGGGATCTACCTTATGTGGGGTTTGATGAGCATCTTGGATAGATATCTTGTCATCTTTCACGGTGTCAGGAAAGTTTTCTGCCAACAAATCTTCAACAATTCTCTCTGTATTTTCTGTTATCGTCTCCTGTTCTGGTACTCCAGTCACTTGTAGGTTATTGGTCTTGATAGAGTCTCACATACTTCTTAGGGTTTCTTCATTTTTTAAAATCCTTCTGTCTGATTTTTTATCAAATAAATTGGTGTCAAGTGCTTTATATTCAGTCTCACTAATTCTGACTTCCATTACCTCAGTTCTGCTCCTATGACTTTCTATTGAGTTGTCTAATTCTGAAATTTTATTGTTTATCTTCTGGATGTCTGATTGCTGTCTATATGGATTCTTACAGCCTGTTAAATTAGTCATTATGCTCTTCTCTAATCTTTTTAATTTCCTCTATTGCATGTTCTGCGTTTTGCTTAATTTCCTTCCTAATTTCTTGAAGAGTTCTGTATATTAATCTTTTGTGTTCTGCCTCCAGTAATTCAAAGAAATTTTTCCTTCTCTGGAAAATTTCTAGATTCATTGTTTTGGAAGCTTGCTGAAGCCATCATGGGTTGCTTCTTTATGTGATATGATATTGACTGTTGTCTCTGAGCCATCAATAAGTTATTATATTTATGTTTGCTTACTGTGTCCTAGCTTCTTGTTTTGATATGCCCAAATAGGCTGCCTGTATGAGCTAGTTTGATTATCGGCACCTTTGAAGCTCTAATGTCCTGTTACTAAGTATGTGAGCTCAAGAGTCCGCCCACTCCTCCTGTATGGATTCAGCCTAGGTGGCCAGGTAGATAGCCACCAAGTGTGTGGTGTAGGCTCTCACAGTGCTGGACAGGCATGGGTGATTGGTGTAGGCACAGGCATCTGGTGCAGCAGGGGGACACAGTCTGAGCAAGGCAAAGGGCTGACAGTTGCCCCTGAGTGTCCAGAAGGAAGGCGTGTCCCTGTTCCTTAGAGCATGTAGGTGGGTGAGTTTTACAGCCAGACTATGAGCACCTAATGCTGTTGGCTGTCAGGACTGGGGGACACCTTTTATTCATGGGCCCCTATCGCAGGTAGCTAGGTGGCATGGGTGGAGCCACTAGTCCTCACACCCCTGATATGCGTAGGTGAAGGTTTAATGGGCATGCAGTGTCAAATGTCAAGAACCTGCCATTTCACAGCTGAAATAGTTGAAGTTAGATTTCCAGTATATACCCTGTTGTACTGTGGTAATGATGAGGGCCTACGCAGTTGAGATGGGCCCACACAAGTTTATAGAGGAGGAAAGGCACTCAAAGCCCGTGGATCCCTTATGCGTGTGCCTAGGCAAAGGAGCTGTGCCTACCCTGGGTTCTTGGCTTAGGGGAGCCGGCAGTTTATTTTTACCTGTTTGTTAATTTGTTCACTCTCCAAGGTAGGGAGAATGGCTCCGGGCTTGTGATGGATCCTACTTTTGGCCCAGGGGACTCGGCAATTGCTGAAGCCCGTCCGGGATCCAGTGCAGAGCAGGGAGTGGGGAGGTAAGTGGGAGAGAGGTTTTTCACTAAGGGGGTTGTTTTTAATCTGCACGGTAAGCCATACGCAAGTACTTGTCTTTCACCGATGGGGGCTGTTTCTCACTGTTTCTGGGTGGCCGTGTAGACTCTCTGGCGCTGGGTCTCTCCTAGTGTGGAATACGCCTCCCGAGCATGGCTGCTTGCCTGCCTCACCGCTCACCCTCAAGCGGATCAGGCCTGAATGGCTCAGGCTCTCACCGGCTCAGGTCTGGCACCTCCTCGCTGCTTCCGAACCATCTCTCCCTCCCCTGCCACTCAGTCTGGTTCCTTAACTCTGCCTTTGATGTTCAGGGCCCCCAGATTGCCATATATAATCAAATCACTTGTTTTTTCGGGTCTTTGTTGTAAGAGGGTCCACCAGAAGCGTCTGACTACTCTGCCATCTGTCTTTGAGGGCAGCTCTGGATGGGTTCCCACTGCCAACGTTTTGGTTCCTAGTAGAGCACTTAACTATTTGTGCCACCCAGGGACTCTTCCCCTAAGGTATATAAACTAAAAAACCAAAACTAGTTTCTGTAGATGCTATATAACCAAAACTCAAACCCGTTGCTGTTGAGTTGATTCCGACTTACAGCTACCCTTTAGGGCAGAGTTGAACTGCCCCATAGGATTTCCAAGGAACAGCTGGTGGATTCAAACTGCCAACCTTTTGGTTAGCAGCTGAGCTCTTAACCACTGTGCCACCAGGGCTCCAAACAAAAAAGAAAACCCATTGCTGTTGACTGCTCCTAGTGACCCTTTAGGACAGAGTAGACCCTATAGTAAAGACTGCCCCGTAGGTTTTCCAAGGCTGTAAGTCTTTATGGAAGCAGACTGACACATCATTCTTTCACGGAGGGCCTGGTGAGTTTGAATCGGCGACCTTTTGGTTAGCAGCTGAGCACTTAACCACTGCTCCACCAGGGCTCCTTTATATTTGAGTAACTTGAATTTTTTTCTCTTTTTGTTATTTACCACTACAAAGTGAAATGGCTGACAGAGAAGGGGAAAGTAGCAAAAGGCATGGAGAACCAAACTACATTGCTTTATAGGTGTTGGTTTTAATAAAATGTTCATGTGGTATAGAAATTTCCAGTGCTGGAATTAACCTCAGTTACACAACTCATTTGTGACTGTTTTAACATGTATTTTTTTTTGTAGAACAAAGGGGTAAACATTTATTCTGTTACCTTTTTTAATTTTGTTTTTAATGTTTTAGCATTTTTAATTGTTTTTTTGTCACTTTTCCTATAGATATTGCCTCATTTGGAAAGCTTGGGAAAACAGGGAAAAATTTCTAGCAAAATGTCAGCTTTTCGAAATCATTGTCCACATTTGGATTCAGTTGGAGAAATAACAAAAGAAGATTTAATACAAAAATCTCATGTAAGATACAGATTTTCTTTTTTCCATGGAAAATCAGATTCTCTCAAAAAGGCAGTTTTTTATAAATTACTGTAGTGCTGTATGCTCGTGAGTCCCAATTTTGAAGTTATTGGTGAATTGTGTGTGTTAGGGCATGTCACTATAACAATAATGTCAGAATGATCTCTTTTCTTAGGGTGCTTGTCAGGATTGTAAAGTCAGAGGACCAAATCTTTGGGCATGCCTGGAGGTATGTTTTTTCTCAAAAGTTTCCTGTTAGGAAAAATATGGATCTGTAAAATGATAACCAGGAACAAAAATTTGACACTTAAAGAATTTGATAAATGAATGTACTTTAAAAATTGACAACAAAATTTAAACTTAAACTTTGGAAGCGTTTTTATTTACAGTGCTTTTGCGGAGATTTAATAAATCACTCTGGGATATGTTATGCTTGCCTTTTATTAGAGGTCACATAGTTTTTAGCTTAGAAATATTCTGTTCTTTTGTGTATGAGATCTTTTGGTTAAATTAACTGACTATGGAAAGTCATTGAAACATTGAGTTAAAATAAGTGATCAAAGTTTAATTGTAATATATATGCTATTATATATTTATACACACACATATTTATGTTACAAAATACCTCATTTCCTTTTTTGTATAATTATTTATAGAATAGATGTTCATATGTTGGCTGTGGTGAATCACAAGTGGATCATAGCACCATACATTCTCAGGTATGTATATAGAAGACTTTAATGCAAGACCTTTTTAGTGAGTCTGAGGGAAAGTAAAGGTGTATACAAATTATTAATTCAAGTTGTAATTCAAAATTTTGTGCCTTTTAGGTAAATTGAATTAAAGCTTAGTTTATGCTCTCTGTGAAAGATGGCGGGGGGGGGGATTGTTAAGAAAATCAACACTAGAATGAAGTTGTATTAAGAGACATTTAAGAAGTACACCTCCAGATGGGTGGAGATGATAGCTGGAATATTAGGTTGTTGTCAAGGTCAGAGAGTGGATGCTTAGAGTTGTGACCCAAACCAAACCAAACCCATTGCCCTCAAGTGAATTCCGACTCACAGTGACCTTATAGGTTGGAGTAGAACTGCCACATTATTTTTCTTGCAGAGCTGTTGGTGGATTTCAACTGCCGACCTTTTGGTTTGCAGCTGAGTGCTTTAACCACTGTGCCACCAGAGCTCCTTAGAGTTATGACAGGGTCTCACTAACTTCTTTAAATCTCATCTTAAAAATTACCTTTTCCTTTAAGTCTTTTTTTAATTTTTATTTTTTTAAATTTTTTTATTGTACTTCAGGTGAAGGTTTACAGAACAGATAGTTTCTCATGAAACAGTAGTACACATGTTGTTTTATGACATTGGTTAACAACCCCATGACATGTCAACCCTCTCCCTTGACCTTTTTTTTTGGTGAAAATATACATAGCCAAACATACACCATTTAAGTCTTTTTGACTGGAGTCCCCTTTCTACTTCGCTCTGGTTGTTTTTTGCTTCCTGTGTAAATCTGTGCATGCCTCTTTTATAGTACAGGCAGTGCCTGACGTAGGATGGGGTTCCCTTCCGACAACACTGTCATAAGTTGGTTCTGATGTAAGTCAAACACCTCATTTTTTCTTGATTGGAAACATTACATATAAACATTTGCAAGTGAAAATGTGAGAATGATAACATCAGCAAATTATATACTGCAGCATTGTATGTAATACATATTACTAACGATAAGATGTAGCCCCTGAAAAAAAGGACGGTCGTAAGGGCGGTTCAGCGTAACTGAAATACGACATACGTCGGGGACTACCTGTACTAGCCTGTGCTCCCATTCTAGACTATAAATTTCTTGAGAATGAACTGCGTGTTTTTCACATTGATAATCTCTTCAGCATCCAGCCGTTCTCAGCAGGGTTCCTCAAAAGAATTAGTTAAGCCTCAAGAGAATTAATTAAGCTCGAATATGCCAAGGCTTTAAGACATCACTGTGTATAATTAATTAACTTCTCTTATATACATATAGAAGGTACTAGCTATGTACCATCCTTGGGAGGATTGAGAAAATAGTCACTCAAATCATTTTTTTGTAGGGCCTGCTTCTTTTACAGAACTTCAGTTGAGAAAGGCTGGACTTTTATCCGTCCAAGATCATATTTTTCACTGTTGATTGAGTGGTTTTTTGCTTTGACTCATGTCATTTGAATCCTTTTGCCTTTCTGATTTCCTGGAATAGTTACCTGTTTTTATCAGTTATTGTCTTGATTGTACTTACTCAGTAACAGCAAAGCAGAGACTCTCATGCTTTTATGTTTATGTTCGTATAATGTATAGTGGAAAAAAATGATAATAAAATAACTTCTAGAGTAGGGTTACATATTGTTATTATTCACTGTACTCTAGCAGTTTATCTAAAGAATTTTTCTTGCACTATAGTTTAGCTCTTCTCTTTGGAGCATATTACTTATCAAAGGCCAGCGGTTTATCTTCTATGATCTTTTGAAGTGTTCTTCATTTATGTCTAATTTTGTTCCCCCTCCCTCCTCACCCTGAAATTATACAGGAGACAAAGCATTATCTAACTGTGAACCTTACCACTCTTCGAGTATGGTGTTATGCTTGCAGCAAAGAAGTGTTTTTGGATAGGAAATTAGGAGCTCAGCCTTCATTGCCTCATGTAAGACAACTTCACCCAACACAAGAAAACAGTGTCCAGGTAATCGAAATCCATTTAGTTACAAATATCAAATAATTAATTTCAGATATGATCATATAGCTGAAATTTAAAAGAATTTTCCCAACCTGTACTTTAAAAGATTTCAGTAATATGGCTCTTTTTCTCTTCAAATAAATCACTCACACTGACCTTTGTTCTTTCATAGAGTGAAAGATTAGGGTGAGATTGAAGCCTTCCTATCCAAAGATAGAAAAACAACTAAGGAATTTTAAGAGCATTTAAAAAAAACGGGTTTAAATAGTGTTCATCTTTTTCTAGCAAATCTGATTCTAGGAAGATGTAGTAGGCCTTCTTTGATAGAGAAAGGCAGGCACAAATTAATATAGCTCCCTTTCCCCATTCACTTAATTTCCCTCTTTCTGGACCCCAATTATATTACTGCGAACATTTTACTAATTTTTTGAGAACCAGATAGAATATAATAATGCTTAGCATTAGTCTTTGGTTAATGATTTTTCTCTGGTTGGATCAAGAGACTCTCACAAAACATGTGTAGGCTTACAAAAATTGATCACTTAATTTTCAAAATGTCTTAGTCATATAAAAATGTGGTTGTTGTCGTTAAGTTCCATTGAGTCGGTTCCAACTCATAGTGACGCTGTGTACAACAGAACAAAACACTGCCTGGTCTTGTGCCATCCTCAGAATTGTTGCTATGTTTGAACGCATTGTTGCAGACACTGTGTCAGTCCATCTCATCAAGGGTCTTCCTCTTTTTTGCTAACCCTCTACTTTACCAAGCATGATGTCCTTCTCCAGGAACTAGTCCCTCCTGATAACATGTCCAAACTACGTGAGATAAAGTCTCACCATCCGCACTTCCAAGGAGCACTCTGGCTGTACTTCTTCCAAGACAGACTTGTTTGTTTTTCTGGCAATACGTGATATATTCAGTATTCTTGCCAACACCAAAAATGCAAAGGCATCAGTTCTTCTTCGGTCTTCCTCATTCGTTTTCCAGCCTTCACATGTGTATAAGGTGATTGAAAATGCCATGGCTTGAGTCAGACGCACCTTGGTCCTCAAGGTAATATCTTTGGTTTTTAACACTTTAAAGAGATCTTTTGCAGCAGATTTGCCCAATACGATACGTTGTTTGATTTCTTGACTGCTGCTTCCTTGGGTGTTGATTGTGGATCCAAGTTAAATGAAATCCTTGACAACTTCAGTCTTTTCTCCATTTATCGTGATGTTGCTTATTGGTCCAGTTGTGAGGATTTTTGTTTTCTTTATGTTAAGGTATAATCCATACTGAAGGCTATAGCCTTTGACCTTCATCAGTAAGTGCTTCAAGTCCTCTTTGCTTTCAGCAAGCAAGGTTGGGTCATCTGCATAATGCAGGTTGTTAATGAGCCTTCCTCCAATTCTAATGCCATGTTCTTCTTCATATAATCCAGCTTCTCGGATTGTTTGCTCATTTTACAGGTTGAATAAGTATGGTGAAAGCTATAACCCTGACACACACCTTTTCTGATTTTAAATCATGCAGTATCCCCTTGTTTTGTTAGAATGACTGCCTCTGGGTCTCTGTATAGGTTCCTCATGAGCACAATTAAGGGTTCTGGAATTGCCATTCTTCATAATGATATCCATAATTTGTTATGATCCACACAGTCGAATGCCTTTGCATAGTCAGTAAAACACAGATTAAACATCTTTTTGGTATTCTCTGCTTTCAGTCAGTGTGACATCAGCAGTGATATCCCTCATTCCATGTTCTTCTGAAATCCAGCTTGAATTTCTAGCCGTTTTCTGTCGATGTACTGCTACAACCATTTTTGAATGATCTTCAGCCAAATTTTACTTGTTTATGATATTAATGATACTGTTCGATAATTTCCACATTCTGTTCAATCACCTTTCTTTGGAATGGGCACAAGTATGGATCTTTTCCAGATGGTTGGCCAGGTAGCTGTCTTTCACATTTCTTAGCATAGATGAGTGAGCACTTCCAGCATTGCATCTGTTTGTTGAAACATCTCAAGTGTTATTCCATCAATTCCTGTAGCCTTGTTTTCACCAGTGTCTACAGTGCAGCTTGGAATTCTTCCTTCAAAACCATTGGTTCTTGATCATATACTACATCCTGAAATGTTTGAACATCAACAGTTCTTTTTGGTACAGTGACTATGTATTCCTTCCATCTTCTTTTGATGTTTCCTGTGTCATTCAAAATTTTGCCCATAGACTCCTTCAGTATTGCAACTTGAGGTCTGAATTTTTTCTTCAGTTCTTTCAGCTTGAGAACTGCCAAGCGGGTTCTTTCCTTTTGGTTTTCTAACTCCAGATCTTTGCACGTTTTGTTATAATACTTTGTTTTGTCTTCTCGAGCTGCCCTTTGAAATCTTCTGTTCAGCTCTATTCCTTCATCATTCCTTCCATTTGCTTTAGCTACTCTACATTCAGTAACAAATTTCAGAGTATCTTCTGACATCGAGCTTGGTCTTTTCTTTCTTTCCTGTCTTTTTAATGATCTTTTGCTTTCACCATGTATGATGTCCTTGATACCATCCTACAACTCATCTGGTCTTTGGTCATTAGTGTTCAGTGCATCAGATCTGTTCTTGAGATGGTCCCCAAATTCAGGTAGAATATACTGAAGGCTGTACGTTGGGTCTTGTGGACTTGTTTTAATTTTCTTCAGTTTCAACTTGAACTTGCATATGAGCAATTGATGATCTGTTCTGCAGTTGGCCCCTGGCCTTGTTCTGACTGTTGATATTGAGCTTCTCCATTGGCTCTTTCCATAGATGTAGTAGATTTGATTCCTGTGTATTCCATCTGGCCAGGTCCATGTGTATTGTCACCATTTATGTTGTTGAGAAAAGGTATTTGCAATGCATAGGTTGTTGATCTTACAAAATTCTATCATGCAATCTCCGGCATCATTTCTATCACCAAGGCCATATTTTCCAACTACTGGTCCTTTTTCTTTGTTTCCACCTTTCGCATTTCAATCACCTGTAATTATCAATGTATCTTGATTACATGTTCTGTCAATTTCAGACTACAGTAGTTGGTAAAAAATTTCAAATTCTTCATCTTTGGCATTATTAGTTGATGCGTAGATTTGCATAATAGTTGTATTAACTGATCTTCCTTATAGGCGTGGGGATATTATCCGATCACCGACAGCATTGTGCCTCAGGATAGATCTTGAAAATGTTCTTTTTGATGATGAATGCGACGCCATTCCTCTTCAGTTTGTCATTCCCTGCATAGTAGACCATGATTGTCTGATTCACAATGGCCAATACCAGTCCATTTCAGCTCACTAATGCCTAGGACATTCATCTTCATGTGTTCCATTTCATTTTTGATGACTTCCTGTTTTCCTAGATTCATACTTCGTATCCACATTCCGATTATTAATGGATGTTTGCAGCTGTTTCTTCTCATTTTGAGTCATGCCACATCAGCAAATGAAGGTCCTGAAAGCTTGACTCCATCCATGTCATTAAGGTCAACTCTACGTTGAGGAGGCAGCTCTTCTCCAGTCTTGTTTGACTGGCTTCCAGTCTGAGGGGCTCATCTAGCACGGTGTCAGACAGTGTTCTGCTGCTGTTCGTAAGGTTTTCACTGGTCAGGTTTTTTTTTTTCCAGAAGTAAATGACCAAGTCGTTCTTCCTAGTTTGTCTTAGTCTGGAAGCTCTGCTGAAGCTTGTCCAGCATAGGTAACCCTGCTGGTATTTGAAATGCTGGTGGCAAAGCTTGCAGCATCACAGCAACATGCAAGCCACCATAATACAACAAACTGACAGATGAGTGGTGGCATATAAAAATAGGAGAAGGGAAGTGAAGAAATTAGAATTGTTTTTTCCTAACTTATTCTGATCATCGTTTGTTCTGTATAGTTAGATTAACAAATTAGCAAGTGTTCTTTCCCAAGTGTATTATGGAAATCACATATTGTATTTCTGTACTTGTGTTCTCTCATACCAACTCTGTTAGAGTTTTCTGTTTTATCTCTGTGCACATTCTAGGTGGACGTTCGTGATAATAAATTTGCGTGCTTCACACATGGTATAATTTAAGTTGATTATGCTTCAGATGGAATATTTGTTGCATTTCCAGTTTCACAATTGAATGGCTGGTTAATAAATCACCACCATTATCTTTCTCACTGACACTGATTTGGCATTCAGAAATGTGCTTAGCCTCTTTTGAAACTCCTGATAATGTGAAAATAGCAGTTTTTTTGAACTCATCTTACATTATTAATAATATGATGGGATGACTAAAAGTTTAGATCACATAAACAACAGATAACAATCTGTAAAGGCAATACTTAGTGTTCATCTGGAAAGCTGGTTGAAAGAATAAGTATAGAAAGGTCACAAAAGAAATACAAACGAAAGTAATCACAGAATACTTCTCCACAAAGTAAGGTAAAACAGCTGTCTGTTCCCATTCCTGCCATAATAGCTTGTAAACTCTAATGAATGTTGAATCTGGTAGAATAAGTGTACTGATACTTTTTAGATGCCTTGTAAATATGTTAATACATAAAAGGCCTGAACTTAATCTCGTGTAACTTTGTGGTGATTACATTGTTGAATAAATTACCCAGAAGAAAAAACTTGTTTGTACAAATTTCTTTAGATGTGCAAAATTTCTAGGTTGTTTTTAACCCAGTTAATAACAGCTTTGTTTATAAAATAGGAGAATATTGGAAACCATGCAAATGTCATCAATAAGATTTTTCCTTTAAAAAAAACCAGAAGTTTGTTTTTGGTGGTAAGGTTTTGGATTTTTTTAAACCTTTGTACTTCTCTGTATTTAAATACTTTGTAAGGGGCATGTAACATCTTTATAAAAATTTATCAATTATTTAAAAAAAAAAAAGTGGTAATATGAGACCTACTGAAATGTCTGGTAACAGATGCCAGAAAGGTACAGTAGATGTTTAAAATGGGTGGGTATAATTACATGTGCATGCATTATAGAGGAGGAATAGGGCAATAATAAATTGTAGAACCAAAGGGTACAAGCGAAATGCATGTTGCTATTAGATCTTCTGATATTACAAGAGGACTTGGAAATTCTGATTTTTATTGATCATTCTTCAAATATTAGTTCAAAGTTGCTTTGTTTGTTTGTTTCTTTTTTTTTAGCAGTATGGGCTAGCATTTGGCCAACACGCCATCAGTTGTAACCCCTTGAGTTTAAGCTAGTTCTGGGGAATTAATATTGGAATATTATATTACCTTTTAAAATAAGTGTTTGTGCTATCTAATATGCATAAAAGGATACAAAATAAGTGTTACAAGTATTAGATTGTAGAAGTGTACAGATAAATTGGTGTTTTCTGGTGAAAAAAACCTGCATTTTTTTTCCTGTAAAAATTTAGTAAAAGTTTGAAAAGACAATATAGGATATGTGCACTAAGGTCTTTAGAGCTGCATTGAGATCTCATTGAATTAGAGCTAGTTGAGTTTAAATTCTGAAAAGTCAGTTATAAAATGTGGTTTTATTACTCAAGTACATATGTTAAGAAAACTAGAATGACATGGTTTTACCTGGTGTAGATCCTTATTTCTTTCAGAATCTAATGGTAAATTTTATTCTAATTACTAAAATCACAAATTTGTATGTAGGTTTCTATTAATAAAATAACATCTCATTAATTTTTTAGAGTATAGATATTAGTTTCTTTTCATCTTATGGTTTGTTATCTTTTTTGTAATGAAGGATTTTAAAATACCCAGTAACACAACGTTAAAAACTCCTCTGGTTGCTGTATTTGATGATCTGGATATAGAAGTGGAAGAAGAAGATGAACTTAAAGCAAGAGGTAAAATAATTCTGCCGTGTAACACTCCTCCTTTATATGACACTGCTCTTTTCTTCAGGAAGCTGCATAATGCAGAAATTTCAAACTCTAGCTGATAGGGACTCCAGAAACAATAACTTAAAAATAAAACCTAAATTTGATCTAGTAAAATGGTGTTTGTAAAAAAAAAAAAGCAAACTGATGATTTCGTGAGTGGTATTTGGTTTATCTGGCATTACTTTTCCAAACCTGGGATCCCAATCTCTCTTTTGCAATTATTACGACCTTTTTTACTTAACTTATCTTTTTAGATCTGTTCTCAACCTGTTTTTATATTCTTACCTGTCAGCAATAGGGGATTGTGGGGAAGTATTAAGGTATCCTTTTAGCAGAATTTCCATGGCAACATTGATTTGGAAAAAGAGTGAGGTGATTCTGATACACCTCTGCCTTGTTCCCCACCCCTTTTGCATTGAGAACCACTGCTTTGGAATTTTTCAAATTTTTTTATGCCCGCAGTTCTTAGTATAAAGTTAAATTTTCTCTTTTATAGTTGACATTAGGGAATTTTAATTTTTTAAAATTTTATAATAATTTCAATTATGATATAATAATATGATAAAATAGCAGTGGTTAAGAGCTTGGCTGCTAACCAAAAGGTCAGCAGTTCAAATCTACCAGCTGCTCCTTGCAATCCCTACGGGGCAGTTTTACTGTGTCCTTTATGGTTGCTATGAGTCAAATTCAACTCGATGGCAAGTTTTTTTTTTTTTAATCACTACAAAGTATTACTTAAATATTTCAGATTAGACAATTTGGAATATGGTTATGTGTATTTTTAAGTAATTATCTGACAATAAATGAACACTTTAATATAAAGTCTCACAGTAGTAGAGATAATATATAAATACTTTTACTTTATATATTAGGCTATTTTAGCCAATACCATGAAACAGCTAGGAGTGAAAAGGGCATTGAACTTGAGTAGGAAGATCCATTTTGATAGGAAGTCCCATATTTACTAATCAGCTGAGGCTTAGCTGCTACCTTGTTTATAAAATGAAGAAACCTGTTCCAGTCCCACCCAACACTGTTGTGAGAAGTATTTGAGAGATTAACTGTGGAAGACCTATGTTAATATAAGGTATAGAATTTGCAGATACAGTAATGAATTTATCCTTTATCCATTTCTGTTAACTTTATCAAGTACTTATCAACCAATGTTAATTTGGCCATGTTTTAGTGATTCTTAGAAGTTTAAATTTTCTTTGTGTTTTTGCTCTAAATCCAAGTAGCATTTTTAATTTTACTTTTGAATGATCTGATGTTACTTCATTTTTTAATTTAATAATGATGTGAGTTGACACAGGTGGATTTGAATGTATACGGAAGAGATAAAATCATTCAGTATTAGATTAAACTTGTATTAGGTTAAACCATATGAAATTGCCACATTTACAAGTTGAAAATAGGCAGTTTCATATAGTTCAGCCTAATAAATAAATTGCTTTCAGTGCAATAAATTGAAATGAGGAGGAACAGGATGTTTATCATTTATCATGACATGGCTTTTTTGCATTGTCATTAAACAACTTCCTCACAATAATTAAATTTGGTTGTACTGAAAAGTGTAAGTTCCAGAACTAGTGCTCTTTTAAAATGTATATTCTTAGTTAAGTGACAATAGCAAAGGCTGTTCTGCCTCTGTAAATTTCAGGGATTAAACTAACATAACTGGAGTTCTGTCACTAAAACCAAACCACTTGATGTCAAGTTGAGTCCGATTCATGGGGTCCCCGTGGGTTGTAGAGTATAACTGTGCTCCACAGGATTTTTAAGGCTGTGACCTTTCTTCCGAGGCACCTCTGGGTGGGTTTGAACTGCCAGCCTTTCAGTTAGTTGTCAAGTGCTTAACCGCTTACACCACCCAAGGAACTCCTGAAGTTTTCTTACAGCTCAATAAGTTGGTGACTCTGACGTTTCCAAAAGTCTGACTTCTCTATGAGTTGACTGTTGCTATACTGTATTTCTGTAGTGCTTAACATAGTTTGAGAACCATGCTGCATACTCAGTAATTCCTACAAAATTGAGTTATTTTTGCATTATTGAATGATGGCATATGTTACTATCTAGTGCCTCTATAAAGAAATGCCATAAGTGGATGGCTTTAACAAAGAGGAAGTTATTCTTTCACAGTTCAGGAGGCTAGAAGTCCAAATTCAGGGTGCCAACTCCAGGGGAAGGCTTTCTGTCTCTGTTGGCTCTAGGGGAAGGTCCTTGTCATCAATCTCCCCCTGGGTCTCGGAGCTTCTCAGTGCAGGCACCCCAAGCCCAAAAGACATGCTTCACTCCTTTTTCTTCTCGCTTGGTAGTAATGAGGTCCCTATCCTTTCTGCTCGCTTCGGTCTTTCATATCTCAAAAGAGATTGACTCAGTATACAACCTAATCTTGTAGATTGAGTCCTGTATCATTAATATAACTGCCTTTAATCCTGCCTCATTAACAGCATAAAGGTTAGGATTTACAACACATAGGAAAAGTACATCAGATCACAAAATAGAGGACAACCACACAATACTGGGAATCATGGCGTAACCAAGTTGACACATATTTTGGGGGGTACAATTCTGTCCATAACAGCATAATTTTGACTTTTTTTCTTAATAGGACTTACAGGTTTGAAAAATATTGGAAATACTTGTTATATGAATGCAGCTTTGCAGGCCCTTTCCAATTGGTAAGTAGAGAAACTAATTTTATTGTTGTTGGGTTGTTTGTATAGTTTTATGAGATCACTTTGAGCATAAAACTATGCTTTTGTAGTATACTAAGGAAAAAAATAGAGAAAGGAGGGGAAGAAAGAAATACACATTAGCAGCAGTATGGGAAAGGATTAACAATTTTATTCAATTACCCTAGTCAACAAAACCCAAAATCAAATCTGTTGCCGTCAAGTCTGTTTCAACTCATCGTGACCCCATACGTTACAGGGTAGAATTGCTCCGTAGGATCTTCTTGGCTATAATCTTTATAGAAGAAATTGCCAGACCTTTCTTCTACAGGGCTGTTGGGTGGGTTCGAACCACTAACCTTTAGGTCAGTAGCCACGAGTAAACTTTGTGCCACCCAGGGACCTTCCCTTGCCAACAGGATTCCATAAATTGCTAGCTATACTTCCCTCACCTTCCTGAGCGTATATATTTTTTCACTTTCTGAAATGCTCCCATTTAGAAATTTGTGTGGATTAACTAAAAGTTTAAAATGAAAATATCTTCATGTTGGTTAATTACCAAGGTAGCGTAGACTAGAATCTGGGTTGGGACATAAGCCAGTGTTGTTTCAGAAGGGTTGCTCTGTGCGTGCCTGCAGTTTCTTAGGACTGCTGTTCTGGCTTAGTCCCTAGGTAGTTGTATGCCTTTGAACAGATCATTTGTCTTTTTACAAATAGAAAATGAGCTTAAAGCAATTAATTCCTCGAATCCCTTTTAGTTCAGCGAGTCTAATGAAAATATTTTTCTCCAGGTAGAAAGCCTCATAAAGAATCCTGATTTTTGTTTTTGAAATCATAGTGCTACAAGGTAGATAGGAGCAAGTAGGGAGGGGAGAACATTCCAGATAGAAGGATCAACACTGTGAAAACCTTGAGCTGGGAAAGAGCTTTACGTTTTTGAGGAACCAGAAGAAAACCTGTATGACAAGAGTATAGTGGGTATGGGAGTTAATGACATGACATAGGTTCCAGGTCATGTAGGACACGTTAAGCATGTATGTCTTTATTTTCAGGGTAGTAAGAAGCCATTAAGGAGCCCTGGTGGCACAGTGATTAAGCACTCAGCTGCTAATTGAAAGGTCAGCTGTTCACACCCACCAGCTGCTCTGCAGGAGAAAGGTGTGGCAGTCTTCTGTAAAGATTACAGCCTTGGAAACCCTATGGGGCAGTTCTACTCTGTCCTGTAGGGTTGCTATGAGTTGAAATCGATTTGTTGGTAACGGCTTTGGTTTGGTTAAGAAGCCATTGAAGTGTTTTTACGACAGTGGAGTTAAATAATCGAATCTAAATTTTAAATGTGGACAGTGAATTAGAGAGGGAAGAAAATGGAATTAGGAAGATCAGTTAGGAGGCTATTGTAATTCGGGCAAGAAATGGTGATAGCTTGCACCAGCGAGGGTGGTAGGAAAGGAGTGGATGAAGGGGAGATAAACATTTTTTAAGAGAATAATTGGTTGATAGCATATGGATGGGGTAGACAGAGAAAGGAGGTATAAAGTTTAATAATAGTAATGTAATCATACTATGAAAGAACCCTGTAGGTCAGAGCTGTTGTTTTCTTTTTTATACAAATGAGAAAACAGAGGTTTAAATACCTTTGCCAGGGTTACTAGCTACTAAGTACTGGAGCAGACTTTTGAATCTGAGATTTGTGTGTTGCTCCAGATTGACTCCTACACAGTACTGCTTCCGTGAATTTACTGTGCAACGCCTTTCATTTCACTGGAAAAGATGTGAATGATAAGGTTACAGTGTTCCTAAGAAATGGCTTAGTGGGTATCTTTCAAATGCCTGGGTGAATTTATTACAGGCCAGGGTTTGGTTCTTTGCCCAGTTAATTTCCTGTAAATAGATTCAAGGGGGTTTCCTCAAGCTAGTCAAACTCATGAAAGACTGTACAGCCTGATAAATTTCTAGCTTGACCCACTGGGTGGATAGCTGTAGCATTTTCTAGGATATAGAAGCCTAGAGGAAGAGAAGATCCACTTGAAAGTTAGCTTTGGGCGTGTTAAATTTGAGATGCCCATGACAGCCATCATTTTGGGCATTTGATATAAGTCTGGAGTGTAGATGAGCTATTTGCCTTTATGTTAATTTGACCATCATTGGCATGCATGTGAAATTTAAGATCACCCAGGGAAAAGAGTAAATAGTAAAGAAAGGGAAAGTCATAAGACCAAGTCCTGAGGAACCCTCATATTTAGATGTCTATTAAGAACAGAAAGAACAAAAAAAAAAAAAAGAGTTGTGAAAGAGGAAAGTAAAAAAGTTCATTACAGTGGTCAAGAGAAGGGTTGTTCAGGAATGAGGGGGTAATCACCTGTGACAGACTCTATTGAGAGGGAATGAAAGGTGTTAATTGGATCTGGCAACATGGAGGACTTTGGTAATATGGTAGGGAAAAATCCTAGCTATAAAAGGGAGATTAGGGCTGTCAGTTCTTTTGAATGACTAGAAGTTGATCAGTGTTAAGCTATGATTCTATGCTGACGTTTTTCTTGTTTGTTTTTAATTAGCCCACCTTTGACACAGTTTTTTCTTGATTGTGGAGGACTAGCTCGAACAGATAAGAAACCAGCCATTTGTAAAAGTTATCTCAAACTAATGACAGAACTGTGGCATAAAAGCAGGTATGTACTTAATATTTTTGTCTTCTTTATTATATTTTTAAGTGAATATTATAAACATTAAAAAGATGGAGGTACATTTATAGAGCTGAAAAAAAAGTAGAAGAGAAACAGATTTGAGGACAAGTCTTGAGTTCCATTTTGGGCATGTTACGTTGAAACTGAACATCTAAATGAAAATGTTACATAAAACAAACAGTTGTCATTGAGTTGACTCTGACTAATGGTGACCCCATATGTGTCAGAGTACAACCGCGCTGCATAGGGTTTTCAGTGGCTGGTATTTTGGAAGTAGCCCACCAGGCGTTTCTTCTAAATCACCTCAGGTGGACTTGAACCTCCAACCTTTCAGTTAGCAGTTGAGCTTGTTAACCATTTGCACCACCCAGGGATTCCAAAGGTGTTGTATAGAAGTTTAGAAGTATCTGGACTGGAAATATAATGTTGAACTGCTGAAGCAAGTTCAGGCTGCTGTGACTGAAACTTTGAATTTTAATGCAGAAGTAGATAGTCTCACAATGCTAAAATCAAACCATAGCTACTTCTACCATTTTTCAGTTTTTTCTTTGTTTGTTTGTTCTAAAGTGTAGTATTAGGAGAATAACTGTGTGCTGTAATATTTTATTTATTTTGTTTTAGAGCTATTGAGGAAATTGATTTTTAACATTAGTCCTTTTCAATTATTCCTAAGAAAATTACCCCATTACACCCCTTAGAAAACAATCACCAAAGCTAACCATCTTGGTTTTTTTTTTCCAGCTTTAGCATTGACTACTTTTAAGTAAGACTCTTGGAATTTTAATGATTTCTAATGTGAAAATTTCTGAAGTTATTCAAGTTTAAACCTTCTTTCCTCATAAGTATTTTACCTCAGAGTTTTCTTTGAGATATTTGACTTTCTCGTAAGGTGTCTTAGTCATCTAGTGCTGCTATAATAGAAATACCACAAGTGGATGGCTTTAACAAAGAGAAATTTATTTCCTTACAGTAAAGTAGGCTTAAAGTCCAAATTCAGGGCGTCAGCTCCAGAGGAAGGCTTTTTCTCTCTATTGGCCTTCTTCTCTTCAGTGTTCCCCCGGACTAGGAGCTTCTGGGTGCAGGGACCCCAGTCCAAAGGACACGCTCTGCTCCCAGCACTGCTTTCTTGATGGTAGGAGGTCCCCCTGTCTCACTGCTCACTTCTGTCTTTTATATCTCAAGAGACTGCCTCAGGACACAGTCCAGTCTTATAGATCAGGTCCTGCCTTACTAACACAACTGCCACCTATCCTCCCTCATTAACATCATAGAGGCAGGTTTACAACATACAGGAAAATCACTCAGTACCAGGAATCATGGCCTAGCCAAATTGATACACAAACTTTTTGGGGGACATAATTCAAACCATGACATAAGGGTAAAAGTATTTCTGAGTTACAAAGAAAAAAATCTCATTTCAGTGTGCTGGGAAAAGAGGATGGTTTTAAGGAGCTGTTCTTTAGGGGTTGTGAAGGTAGATATCATTCTAATCTCTAACATTAAATACGAGATCTCCTATAATCCTATCGGGAATAATCCAGTGCTGCCACAGGATCTAAAGTTTCTAACTTCCTTTCTACATAGGTAGCACTAGCTCTTAGCTGTTGTGTTTAAGCTTCTTTGTCTTGTAACTGCATTTTAAACTTAGTATTTTTGGAAGTTTACCAAACTTCAAAACCATCATAGAACAGAATTCTTAGTTGGTTAAGTCTCTTGTAAGTGCCTGACCTTTTTATACATTTGGTTTACTTTTTGTTCGTTTTTGGTTTTGTGAGTATTTGATGGATGGTTTTAAGTTTTTATTAGTATACTGTACTAAGGTATTTCTTAATTATCCCAGCACAGGAATTTTATTTTAAGTAATAATAGGGGTCTTTTTGAAAAGTTATACAGTGGAGCAACATGGAGGAGGAGAGCAATAAAATAGCTGCTTATATATTTACCAGAGGTCCCAGGGTGCTGCAAATGGTTTGCAGATTGGCTGTTAACCTAAAGGTTGGTGGTTTCAGTCTACCCAGGGGCTTCACAGAAGAAACACCTAATTATCTGCATCCGTAAATATTATAGCCAAGAAAACCCTATGGAGCAGTTCTACTCTGTAACACATGGGGTTGCCATGAGTTGGAATTGACAGCAAGAGTTTTTTTTTTTTAAGTATATTTATCAGTGATGAAATGTTCTGATGAGCCTATGAAAAATAATACTGGACATTTCCGAATGATTTTTTTTGAAACATAATCACTTTTCAATTTACTTAATACTTTGAATTCTTGGTTATTAATTTCTAAAATAAAAATTTAAAGTAACAGAATTTATCTCTTTGAATATATTTTCTTACTCAGGCCAGGATTTGTGGTGCCTACTAATTTGTTTCAAGGAATTAAAACTGTAAATCCAACATTTCGGGGTTATTCCCAGCAGGTAAGTCTTTATATTGCTTTTCAATCCTAGTATAAATAATCTGTTACAAATTTGGTGAAAAATGCTATTATGGTTTAGTGTAGTCATTTGCATTTCTTCTTCTGTAATTACTTTATTTCACTTGCCCACTTAACTTTTGGAGTCATCATTCTTTGTGTCTTTTTTTACCAAGATTAGTTATCTTTTATCATAATTGTTGCTTATAATTTTCCTACTTTCTCTTAATATTATTATAATCTTTGAAATTTTTAAATTTTGTCATGGGTAGATATGTTAATATATTTCTTTTTGTGCTTTTAGCTTAGAAAAATTTCACATCCAAAGATCAGATAAATTTTCATTTATACTTTCTATATTTTGTTTTCATAATTTATATTTAATTCTTCAACATACCTGGCATTTATTTTATTATTACATTATAATAATTCAAATTATTTCACAAATAGCTAAGAAATTGTCCCAGTTATTTACAAGTTCTTCCTATCTTATTTTTAAAATTTCTTCTTTATTAAGCTTTATTTATGCTTCTACTAATATATGATAGGGTCTATTTCTGGGCTTTAAAAAAATTTTTTTTATTGTGCTTTAGGAGAAGGTTTACAGTGCAAATTAGTTTCCCATTCAATAGCTTATACACAAATCATTCCGTGACATTGGTTGCAATCCCCACAATGTGTCTGTGTTCTCCCCATTACCACCTTAAGTTCCCCATTTCCATTTATCTGATTTTCCTGCCTCTTCCTGCCTTTTCATCTTTGCTTTTGGGCAGATGTTGCCCTTTTGGTCTCATAGATGATTGTTCTAAGGAACAGTTTTCTCACAGCTATTATTATTTATTTTAGAGGTCTATCTATTATTTGGCTGAAAGGTGATCTCTGGGAATGGCTTCATTTCCAAGTTAGAAGAGTGTCTAAAGGCCATAGTCTCAGGTGTTCCTCCATCCTTTCTCGGACCAGTAAATCTGTATTGTTTTTTTTTTTTATGAATTTGAATTTTGTTCTACAGTTTTTTCCCTCTCTAACTGGAACCTTCTATCGTGATCCTGGTCAGAGCGGTCGGTAGGAGTAGCCAGGCACCATCTTGTTCTCCTGGTCTCAGGCTAGTGGAGGCTGTGGTTCCTGTGGTCCATTAGTCCTTTGGACTAATTGTTCCTTGAGTCTTTGGTTTTCTTCACTCTCCTTTGCTCCAAGAGACCAATAGTTATATCTTAGATGGCTGCTTGCAAGCTTTTAAGACCCCAGACGCTACTCACCAAAGTAGGATGTAGAATTTTGTCTTTAAGAACTGTGTTATTCCAATTGACCTGGATGGTCCCCGAGACTATGGTCCTTAGCCTTCAAGTCCAGGAACTCAGTCCTGCAAGGTATTTTGTTGTATCTAGGATGTTTCCATGACTGTGCTCTATTATGTGTATGAATATACATGCAGCATATATGAATATGCGTGTAGAAATATCCATAGCCAAACCTATATATGCACATGGATATACTCCCATACGCACTCCCGCACCTATCCAGCATACATATCTACTTAAGTATCCACTCATAAATTATTGTTTGCTGTTACTGTTGTTGCGAGATTGTGTATGTTATAGTATTTACTGTCGTTGCCTTTTATTCTTGCTTACCTCTCAGTGTCTTCCCTTGCTTTGATCATGTTGTATTGACTTCCCCCATGTTGTATACTGCCTTTCTCTTCACCGGAGTTAACATGTATCTACCCTCTAGTTAGTGATTTTTCCTCCTTCCTCCTCCCATCCCTGGTAACTATCAAAAAATATTTCTTTCTCTATGTAAACCTTTTCTTGTCTATTTATAATAGTGGTCTCATAAATAATATTTGTCTGTTTGTGATTGGCTTATTTAACTCAGCATTATGTCCTTCACATTCATCCATGTTGTGAGATGTCTCGTGGATTCATCATCATTCTTTATCATTGTGTAGTATTCCACTGTGTGTATGTATCACAGTTTGTTTATCCATTCATCTGTTGATGGGCACTTAGGTTGCTTCCATCTTTTTTCTGTTGTGAATAACGCTTCAGTGAACATGGGTATGCATATGTCCATTCTTGTTACAGCTCTTACTTCTCTAGGATATATACCTAGGAATGGAATTGCTGGATCATATGGTATTTCTATTTGTAGCTTTTTAAAGAAGTGCCATACCATCTTTCCATAGTGGTTGTACCATTTTATAGTCCCACCAGCAGTGTATAAGAAGTTCCAGTCTCCTCACAACCTCTCCAACATTTGTTGTTTTCTGGGTTTTTTTTTTTGATCAATGCCATTATTGCCGTGGTGAGGTGGTATCCCATTATCTCGTTGTAGTTCTATTTTACATCTCTCTAATGGCTAATAGGAAACCCTGGTGGTGTAGTGGTTAAGTGTTACAGCTGCTAACCAAAAGGTCAGCAGTTCAAATCCACCATCCACTCCTTGGAAACTCTATGGGGCAGTTCTGCTGTGTCCTATAGGGTTGCTATGAGTTGGCACTGACTCAGTGCTAACAGGTTTGGGTTTTGGTTTTAATGGCTAATGATCATGAGCATCTCTTAATGTGTTTGTTAGCCACCTGAATGTCTTCTTTGGTGAAGTGTGTTTCTAGGCTTTCTAATCAATTTCGTGGACCTGTCTGTTTTTGAGGAGCCCTGCTGGTGCAGTTGTTAAGAGATTGGCTGCTAGCCAAAAGGTCGACAATTCGAATCCACCAGCTGCTCCTTGGGAACCCTATGGGGCGCTTCTAATCTGTCCTGTAGGGTCACTATGAGTTGGAATTGATTCAACAGCAGTCAGTTTGGTCTTGGTTTGAGTTAGTACCACATGGCAGTCTCAATTATAAAATAACCAAACCCATTGCCGTCGAGTCGATTCCAACTCATAGCGACCCTACAGGACAGTGTAGAACCTCCCCGTAGGGTTTCCAAGGAGTGCCTGGTGGATTTGAACTGCCGACCTTTTGGTTAGCAGCTATAGCTCTTAACCACTATGCCACCAGGGTTTCCTTCAATTATCATAGCTTTATATAATATCTTTCAATAGTAATCACTGGTCCTCACGCATTTTTCTTCTATTTTAAACCATTACCTCTCTGCTTTTCATTTTTTCAGATGCAAATTCCTGGATTTCATCTCTAGAGATTTGAGTTGGTAGATGTGAGTTTGGGACCCAGGAATTTTTATTTTCAATAAGCACTCCAGGTTGATCAAGGATTTTTCTTTGAAATACAGTGCAAGATTTGATAGAACTCTAAATTTAAGCTAAACTTGTAAAATATTTGAATTTAGGACACCTGTCTGAATTCTAATTGTCATATGAAGCAAATTTTTATTTTCTACATGCCTTATTCTTCTATTTTTTTGTGGTTAATAGCACTTCTCATAGCTGACGTCCAGATCACCTTCAGTCTATTAATCTTCTGTTTTATTTGCTTAACTTTCTAGAATTTAGTTCTTCCCATCCCTCCAGTGCCTTATGTTTTACAAACCTGTATTTTTTCAGTATAACGCTATGCATTTATAAATCAATTGATAACCACATTTTGTATATTATCCTTTTAGTTTCTGCACATACATATTTTTAATGAAGTGGTAATGTCTATGTTGCTGATATATTAGGATGCTCAAGAATTCCTTCGATGTTTAATGGATCTTCTTCATGAAGAATTGAAAGAGCAGGTCATGGAAATAGAGGAAGACACTCATGCTGTAACGACTGAGGAGAGTATGGAAGAAGACCAGAGCCAGTCAGATATAGATTTTCAGTCCTGTGAATCTTGTGGCAGTAGTGATAAAGCAGAAAATGAAAACGGCTCTAGGGGTTTTTCTGAAGATAATAATGAAACAACAATGTTAATTCAAGAAAATGAGAACAATTCAGAAATGTCAAAAGATTGGCAAAAAGAGAAGATGTGCAATAAGATTAATAAAATAAATTCTGAAGGTGAATTAGATAGAGACTCTGTGTCTGAAACAGTCAACCTGAACAACCAGGAAACTGTCAAAGTGCAAATACACAGCAGAGCTTCAGGTGACAATTTAATAATTTGATCATGAAAGTGATAGCATTATTTATAGACACTCTCTGGTCCTTTACAGAAAAAGAATTTTGCCAGTTTCTGACCTAGATTGCATTAACTTTATTTGTTTCAGAAAGGCCTGGAGTGAGTTTCTTCCCCTAACACCAAATACTCAGTTTGCTTTTAGTCATGGTTGAGATAAGAAATGCCTATGTGAAAAATATTTGTACATTGTCTGGAAAAATCCCTGAAGATACTTTGTTTCAGGGTCTTTTATGAAAATATTTATTAAGTCCTTAAAAGTCCCTTACATTGATAGGGCTATGTGTAGTATACTAGGAATCCAACAATAAACTGTCAAGATAGTTCTCAGGGAGCTTATGTTTTCTCAACTCATAATTTAATTCTGAAAAAGATCCTTTTTGACAAAGGGGTGTATTTCCTTTTTTAGGGTAAGAATAATTTATGATTATGCCTAAATTTCTTGTTTGAGTTTGATTGCTAACATACCATGTTAGTGATTACTATGTTAGTGTGGGAAGATAATCTCTTCTCCCACATGGTTTTAAAACTTTCAAAACTGTTTCCTGAATATCTTTTTTTATATCTTCACATTACATTTGGACAAATACGACAGCTTGTCTCACTTCCTGAATTGCCTACAACAGTAGTGCGTTATAAACATTATATGGGTTCCTAGTTGGATATCATTTATTTTGCTTAGAAATACTTTGCCCATCAATTATTTTACATGACATTTGTAATGTGAATTATGTTCAGAATCTCAAATCTTTAAATTAATTAGCATTATTTGGCATGTAGAAAAATTTTAACATTTAAGGTAATAATACAAAGTTTAAATATTACAGAATATATCACCGACGTCCATTTGAATGACCTGTCTACATCACAGATCCTTCCATCAAATGAAGGTGTTAATCCACGTTTATCAGCAAGCCCTCCAAAATCAGGCAATTTGTGGCCAGGACTGGCATCCACACACAAGAAAGGTAAAGGTCTCCATTACTCAAGTGTTAATCATGAACTACTAGTCTGTCCTCTAAAATTGACTTGATAATATTTTTTCACAACCATGATTTAAACATTTTTGTGTGTGTGGAACTATTTAATTTACATAGAGTGTAATTAACTTTTTTTGTGTAGAGTACTATGAGTTTTAATACATATATAGATTCTTGTTACCACCACCACAAACAGGATATAGAAAATTCCAACACCCCAAAGAATTCCCTCATGCTGTGCCTAAGCCCTGGCAATGTTGATCTCTTCTCTTTTCCTATTGTTTGCTTTTTTCAGAATGTCATATAAATGAAATTATACAGTATGTAGTCTTTTGAAGCTCACTTTGATTTAGCATAATGCATTTGAGATTTAGTCACATTGTTGATTGTCTAAATAGTTCATTCCTTTTTATTGCTGAGCAGTATAGCTGTACCAGTTTATCCCATTCATTCATTAAAGGACGTTTGGATAGATTATGATTCGATTATGAATTAGATTGACATTTGATTATGAATACTGTTATAACATTCCTGTACAGGTTTTTGTGTGAACATAAGTTTTCACTTCTCTAGTGTAAATACCTAGAAGTAGAGTTACTGGGTTATATGTTAGTTTTTTTAAATAATAATATTTTATTGTGTTTTTGGTGAAGGTTTACACGGCAGTTTAGGTTCCGATTAAACAATTTTTACACAAGTTGTTCAGGGACATTGTTTACATTCTTCACAATGCGTGAACACTCGCATTATTTCCATTCTTGTTCCATTTTCATTAATCCAGTTTCCTGCTCCCCTTACATTCTCATCTCTGTTTTAAAGTAATTGTTGCCCATTTGGTCTCATATGGGAGATTTTTTAGAGGAGCACAGATAATATTTTTTGAGCCAATTTGTTGTTATATGTTAGCTTTACATTTAACATTTTACAAAATTGCCAAACTTTTCCAGAGTGGCTGTGCCGTTTTCCATTCACTAGCTATGTATGGGAGTTCCAGTATTATAAAATATAAACTATAAACAGCAAAAGACAAATAAATGGACCTCAACAGTCTTTACCACAAAAGTGAAAAGATGAGCTACAAACTAGGAGAACTAGGAGGAATCCTTTGGAAATCATATATCTGATAAGAATCTAATAACCAAAATATATATAAAACTTTGACAACAGCAAAAAGACAACTTAATCATAAAATGGGCAAAGGACTTGAATAGCTATTTCACTAAAGAGGACATTCAGATGGTCACCAAACATGCTTAATGAAAAGATGCTCAATGTCATTACCCATCAAAGAGATGCAAATCAAAACCACAATGAGATACTATTTCACTCCCACTAGGATGGCTAAAAGAAACCCTGGTGGGGTAGTGGTTAAGAGCTACATCTGCTAACCAAAAGGTCGGCAGTTCGAATCCATGAGGCGCTCCTTCAAAACTCTGTGGGCAGTTCTGCTCTGTTCTGTAGGGTCACTATGAGTCAGAACGGACTTGACGGCAACTGGGTACAGGTAGGATGGCTCAGATTAAAAAAAAAAAAAAAAACAGAAAAGAACAAATGTTGGATGTGGGGAAGTTAGAACCCTTACCCGTTATTGGTGGGAATGCAAAATGGTACTGCTGTTGTGGAAAACAGTGTGGCGGTTCCTCAAAAAACTAAAAATAGAACTACCATATGACCTAGCAGTTCCACTCCTATGTGGTGCATATGTACAATGGAATACTACTCAGCCAGTAGGAGAAATGAAGTCTTGATACATGCTACAGTATGGATACAGCTTGAAGATATTTTGCTGAGTGAAATGAGTCAGTTACAAAAGGACAAATATTACATGACCTCACTTATATAAAAAGACAAGAAAAGGCAAATGTATAGAGACCAGCGTTTATTAGTGGCTACCAGTGGTGGCAGGGATGGCGGATGGAGAGGTTATTGCTTATGGAGTACTGAATTTGGGTTTACCGTGATGGAAACATAGCATTTATTAAGGGTAGGGTTACACAGCCGATTATTGTAAGTGCTGTCAGTAAATTGTACACTTGTAAAAAGTTGAATTGGCAAAAGTAGTGTGATAGACATTTATAACTATGATAAAAAAAAAAAAAGCTGGTGAGGCTGTTTATGTACAGCTAAACACCTCATGGGATTTGGTTCCTTGGTTTGGAGGTTTCTGGTTATAGTTTCATGGGACATCCCAGTTAATTGGCCTAATAAAGTATTCAGTGCTTCTGTTCTGCCTTGTAGTTCGTTGTGTAGTGCCCGGGGTGTTAAAAGCTTGCAAATGGCCATCCAAGGGACAACAATTTGTTTCTATTCACCTGGAGCAACAGAGGAAGGAGAGTCAGGAATAGGAGGAGGATATGGAATGTGTGCTGACTGCCTCCATGAACAACTGTCTTCTTTGCCGTGAGACCAGAAGAACTGGATGGTGCCCGGCTACCATTACTGAACATTTTGATCAAAGATTCTATAGAAGAATCTTGATCAAAAGGGGGAAAATGCAGAACAGAATTTCAGCTTAGCGTGGAATCCAGACTTTCTGGAGCCATGGAGGCCGGATGAACCCCTGAAATAGCTGCCCTGAGATAATCTTTAAACCTTAAACCAAAAATGTCTCCTGAAGTCTTCCTAAAACCAAACAATAGTTTACCTTAACCAGTTTAAAAAAAAAAAAAAAAAAAGTCTGCCTTGAGCGTTATGCTGTTTTAAGAACTATCTATATGGGATCCAGTTGACAACAGGAACCTTAGGGGGCAGTGAGTTTATGTTAATGGGGGAAAAACAACTCAGAAAAGGAGGGTGCGAATGGTTGTACAACTTGAAGAATGTAATTGGTGTCACTGAATTGTACATGTAGAAACTGTTAAATTGGTGTAGTTTAAATAAATAAAAAAAATGTAAACTATAAAAACTCTTAGAACAAAACATAGGCGGAAGTCTTCTTGACCTTGGTTTGGGCAAAGAGTTCTTATATATGATGTAAAAAGCACAATTTAGAAAAAAATGATAAATTGGACCTAAAAATTAACTTTTTCTTGGTAAAGACATTGTTAAGAGAATGAAAAGATAAGATTGGGAGAACATATTTGTAAATCACATACCTGACAAAGACTTATAGCTAAAATATATAAAAAGCTCTTAAAACTTTATAGAATAAAAAAAATTTTCTTTTAAATGGGCAAAAATTTAAACACAGCCATTTAATTTAAAATCTGCAAATGAGCTCTGAAATCTCCCAGTGCAGTGGTTTTCAAACACTGTAAAACCTCAGAATACTTTCTTCAAATAAAACCTTACTTGGAAGCAAAAGTAAATAAACAAGTAAAAGCAGAACTGCTCTGATTGGTCAAGATAGTGAGACTGAACCTCTCCTGTTTTATCATTACCTAACCCCTTTCCCACTTCCTTTCCTTGACTTGCTGAACATAAGTGAACAGTGATGAGGCTAAACCTTTCATTTAGCGTATTAACAAAACTCCACTGAACATTGTGCTAATTCAGAATTCTTTTCACTTTCCCGTATGTACATACACGTGCACTCATACATATATACAGCATTAATAGTGGCCAAAGATCATACATAATTTCTTTTTTTTTTTTTTTTGACCAGCTTAAGTCTTGTCTGATTGGTTTCACTCTGGGTCTTTCCAAAGTAACACTTTCGAATGATATTTTGAAATTTTCCTGTTAGCACAGTAATTTTTACTGTTAAAAAGTCTGCAGAAAAATACTAAAAGAATTACTTTGATTTAAAAATTGTTTTGTTTTGGTAAAATATATATATATAACATAACATTTGCTGTTTTAACTGTATTTAAGTGTACAATTCAGTGGCATTAATTACATTCGCATTGTTGTGCAACAATTTCTACCATCCATTTCCAAAACTTTTAATCACCCCAAACAGAAAGTCTGTACCATTAAGCAATAACTCCCCTTCTCCCCTCCCTCTAATCCCTGGTAACCTCTGATCTACTTTCTGTCTCTATGAATTGGCCTGTTACAGATATTTCCTGTAAATGGAATCATGCAGTGTTTATCTTTTTTTGAATGGCTTCTTTCACTTCGCATATTGTAGCATATATTAGAATTTCATTCCTTTTTATGGCTGAATAATATTCCATGTGTGTATCTACCACATTTTGTTTATACATTGATCTGTCTTGGACACTTGGGTTGTTGCCACCTTTTGGCTACTGTGAATAATGCTGTGATGAACATCAGTGTACAGGTAGCTGAATGTCTGCTTTGAATTTTGTTGGGTTTATACCTAGGAGTAGAATTCCTGGGTCATATGGTAGTTCCGTGTTTAACTTTTGATGAAACAAACTTTTCTACAGCAGCTGCGCCATCTTACATTCCCACCAGTAGTGCGTGAGAGTTCCGGTTTCTCCAGTCTCACCAGTAGTTGTCATTTTCCAATTTTTTTATGATAGCCATCCTAGTAGGTGTGAAGTGGTATCTCATTGTAATTTTATTTGCATTTCTCTAATAACTAATGACATCAAGTATCTTTCCATGTGCTTATTGGCCATTTGTATATCTTCTTTGGAGAAATGTCTATTCATGTCCTTTGTCCATTTTTTCATTAAGTTGTTTGTCTTTTTTTGTTGAGTTGTAGGCGTTCTTTATCTATTCTGAATATTAAGCCTTCATTCGATATATGATTTCCAAATATTTTCTCCCATTCTGTAGGTTGTCTTCACTTTCTTGATAAAGTCCGTTGATGCACAAAAGTTTTTAATTTTAATGAAGTCCAGTGTATCTGTTTTTTCTTTTGTTCATGGTTTGGTGTCATATCTAGGAATCCCTTGCCAAATACAAGTTCTTGAAGATTTACCCTTATACTTTCCTCTATGAGTTTTATTATTTTTAGCTCTTACATTTAGGTTATTGATACATATTGATTTAAGTTTTATGAAAAGTGAGAGGTAGGGGTTCAACTCAGTCTTTTTCACATGGGGATACAGTTGTCCAGGGACCATTTTTTATTGAAGAGACTGTTTTTTCCCCATTGCATGGACTTGGTACCCTTGTTGAAAATCAGTTGGCCATAGATGTATGGGTTTATTTCTGGACCCTCAATTCTATCTCATTGGTCTGTATGTCTATCCTTATGCCAGTGCCACACTCCCCTCTCCCCCACTGTTTTGATTATTGTGGCTTTATGGGAAGGTTTGAAATCAGGAAGTGTGAGCCCTCTAACTTTGTTCTTCTTTTTCAAGATTGTTTTGGCTACTCAGGGCCCCTTGCAATTCCATATGAATTTGAGAATTGGCTTTTCCATTTCTGCAAAAAAGCCTTATTGGGATTTTGACAGGGATTGTGTTTAATCTGTAGACCACTTTTGGTAATATTGACGTCTTAACAATATTAAATCTTTGCAATCCATGAACACGAGATGTCTTTTCTATTTATTTAGGTCTCCGTTAATTTCTTTTAGCACCATTTTATAGTTTTCAATGTAGAAGTCTTTCACCTTCTTGGATAAATTTATTCCTAGGTATTTCATTCCTTCTGATGCTACTACAATTAAATTGTTTTCTTATTCCTTTTTGGTTTATTCATTACTAGTGTATAGGAACACAACTGTCTTTTGTGTATTGATCTTGTACCCTGCAACTTTGCAGAATTCATTTAGTACCTCTTTTGTGTATTCTTTGGGATTTTCTATATATAGGATCATATCATCTGTGAATAGAGAGTATTACTTCTTTCTTTCCAATTTGGGTGCTCTTTATTTCTTTATCTTGCCTAATTGCTTGGCTGGAACTTCCAGTACAATGTTGAATAACAGTGGTACAGGTGAGCATACTTCCTTGTCTTGGTCCTGCTCTTAGGGGGAAAGGTGATTTTTTAAAATATTTTATACTTGTCTTTAAATCCTAGCTCAGTCTGCATCATCTCCAAAGAGAAAAAAACAGCACAAGAAATACAGAAGCGTTATTTCAGACATATTTGATGGAACAATTATTAGTTCAGTACAGTGTCTAACTTGTGACAGGGTGAGTATGAGAAAATTATAATACACGGAAAATTTTTGTCAAATGCTCTTTTTAAAAAAATCTAGCAAAACTGCTTTTAAAAAAATTAGTGAGTTTTAATTCCTTCTCTTTACTACTGATGACCATAAGTGTGTTTACATCAATATAAATTGAATCTAGGAGTAGAATTTTTTTGGAAATAGCAGCAACAGTCTTTTTGAAAGATTGATCTTGACTCATCATTGGACAGGCCTGCACTATTTGGAAAAATTAACTCAGGTGTTCATCTGTTTTGATCACATGTAAACATGAGAAGTTGCTCAGCAACAAGAATTGGTAACACATATATTTTCTTTCAAGGCTGATGAAATTAGTATACTGGGAAACTTGCTATTCACAGGGACAAAGCTGTGAATGTATCTCCTATATTTGATTATACTCTGGCTAGTAAATATTTTCCTATATTCAGATTGGGGCTCGCATAATAAAGGTACTGACAAACTGATAGACAATGACAAGGGCATAAATTAAAATCGTTATGAGTTCTTTAATAATACTGGTAATTTATAATGTGAATGTGAATTAACATTCTATACGTACTGTTTTGGAGCCCTGGTGGCGCAGTGGTTAAGCATTAAGGCTGCTAACCAAAAGCTTGGCAGTTCAAATCTACCAGCTGCTCCTTGGAAACCCTTTGAGGCAGTTCTACCCTGTCCTTTGGAGTCCCTGTGAGTTGGAAATGACTTGATGGCAACAGGTATATGTACTATTTTAGGATGCCTGAGATTACCGTTTTCAGCTCTTTTTCTCCATTCCTCAGTTTCTTTGAGCTATTCTTAAGAATGGTTTTGCTTTAGTGCAAACTAGTCATGCAGCCACATTATCTAAATCCATATTGAATATGAGGCTTTTTTGCCACTAAGTGATACTGATATCTGTAATTGAAAATAACTTCTCTCAAAACACAAAACAGAACTCCCTCTCAGTTTCCAGTTATCATGTTAGGGTTTTAGGTGAAATGTAATGACTTTCAATAAGATTATTTTAAAGAACGCTCTTTTGGTACCAGGTATTTAAATGGTACTACTCAGAAATGTTTTTAGCTAATTAAAGATTAGATGCCAGGTTTTGCATCTCTCTCTCTTTTTAACATATTTTAAAACTATTATGAAAGGCCCATTTCCAAAGACCAGTGCAGTATATAGTGCTTAAGGGTTTGACCCTCAAGATACAATGACTGGATTTGGAGCACTTCTCTATGCCGCAGCATCCTTGATTATAATGGGGATGCTTGTAGCTACCTCAATTTCTATGTGAAGATTAAAAAATTACTATATCTAAAGCATTTAGAACATTACCTGATATAGAGGAAGTGCTTTTTGCTATTGTTACTACTATAAAAACAGTTTTATTTTTTGTTTAACTTGCTTTGATCTTTGCAGTCTAAAATGTATGCTCCTAAATGTTTGTGCTGGATTATTTTCATTCTGTTTTTAAAACGCAAAACAATTTTAGGTGTCTGTAACCCTCGAGACCTTTCAAGATCTCTCCTTGCCAATTCCTGGCAAGGAAGACCTTGCTAAGCTGCATTCATCGAGTCATCCAACTTCTATAATCAAAGCAGGATCATGTGGCGAGGCATATGCTCCACAAGGGTGGATAGCTTTTTTCATGGAATATGTGAAAAGGTATGTATTTTTTTCTTTGTATTTATTTTTGTTAAAACTGCTGTTTCTGCTGTACTGGCAGAACACTTCCTTTTTTTTTCTATCAATGATGTTTCAGGTTTGTTGTCTCATGTGTCCCTAGCTGGTTTTGGGGTCCAATAGTAACCTTGCAAGATTGTCTTGCTGCCTTCTTCGCCAGAGATGAACTAAAAGGTAAGAAACATACAAATTTTCATCTAGGCTAACTTATTGTGGGTGATCAAAAGCACTGGTGGGACTAAACATAAAATGTCCTTGTAAAAGTGAAGTTTTAAGGCGGCTTACATTCATAAGTACTTGCCCATATTGGCACAGTGCCAGTATCTATCACGGCACTATTATAAGATGTAGATTGTATCCTGGAAGAATTTATATAAATTTCTGTAGTACAAGACAATGTGATATGTTAAGTTGCTCTGGAGATTCAAAGAAGGGAAAGTTCAACCAACTTAATGGACTTATTTATGTTTGTAAACTAGACTAGTTGTACGCTCCTCCATATCATTTAAGATCCTTTGCTATTTTTGTGTCTTCAACAGCTTGTATAGAGTTTGGCATTTGACAGGCAGTCAGTAAATTTAGTTAAATAAATAAATGGGAAGGATGTTATTTGAGGTAGGCCTTCAAGGTTGAGAGTATGGTGAGGGGATGACGTTTTAAGCCAGGTGAACATCATGAGGTGACTCCTGAGCAGAGACTAAAAAATGAGCCTTGTTTTACTGCACTGTGAGGTCAGCATGTGGCAAAGTCAAAGAATTGCAGAACCAAGAGAAAATAATTGCTTTTAATTTGAGAAGAATGACCAGATCTGTTCTCTTTGCAGGTGACAATATGTACAGTTGTGAAAAATGCAAAAAGTAAGTTACACTGACAGTGGTTTTGATGCATGTTTTATATTTTAAATGGCTTACTTTTCTTAAATGGTATTTTTTAATTTTATATGGTTGTTTCAGTTGGACATGTGGAATTAATTTGCCACTATAGTCTGGAAAAATACAGGCCAGAAAGCTTTATCTTAGTAATAACAAAGAGATTGGTTGGTCTGTAAAACAAATTTGAGGTAAAAAATTTTAATAGGCTTATGTAAGATGTTAGAGTGTCTATTTTGTGATGTGAAATAAGTATGTGATTCTGCATAATACATTTATTTTCTAGAGGAATCTTAATACTGTTTGGTTGAGAAAGATGAAAAGCTATCTTATCCTTTCTAGAAAAACTTTACTGCTAAATAGTATTCTTTGATTTGGAAAGTATTTATTACCAGTTTGTCTTTGAAGCCTTAGCTGACAGCAGAGGGAGTTGGCTTGGAGGAGGAGCTGGAAAAGCAAAACAGACTAGGAAAAAGATATACTGAAGATGGAAGGGCACTTAGCATCTACCCCCAGATCCAAAGTAGAGATCTATCATATGTATATTAATACTGATTATTAATAATAGCCATCCTTTATTTATTTCAAGCTGTTTGTTTGCATGTTTAAGAAATAGAGTTTTAATATAGTCACCTGAACTAACCAATTCTATAAAATTAAAGTTTTGCTTTACCCTGTTCCATTTGATATCTCGATGTTATGAAGACTTAGCCAGGCAATAGACAGTAGTGCATATGTTTTTCAAAAAAAATTCTTTTTCATCACAGAATTACATAACTCCCTAAATTTTTATTACTTATATCTTAAATTATTTTTTTCATAAAAGACTCCAGTATTTTGATTATTAGAGTATTTAGTGTGTATTTTAAAATGTGTAGCAGATAATTCAATAGTGAACATTTCTAGTCTACCTTTGTCTCTGCATTTTCGAAAAGATCTCACTGTATATTTAAATATATGAAAGGTTTTGTAGATTCATATGGGAGACAGGTTTACTTAAACTGGTTTTCTGTTTTCCCCCATTAGGTTGAGAAATGGAGTAAAGTTCTGTAAAGTACAAAAGTTTCCTGAGGTATGGGTTTTATTATAACGCAGTTTCTTTTATGTGGTAGGAACATACAGCATTAATGTCATTATGCCATGTAGAAAATTCCCCAGAATGACTGAAGAATGGAATGGTTTTACTGACTGGTTACTACGTATACCTTATCGAGATTATCCATTTTTTAAATATTGGTTACACACTATAAGTACCCTTAGCAGCAAAACTCAGTTGAACACAGTTTAATGAGACATTGTAGGATCTTGCAGATTTAAAGTATAAAATTAGCAAAACCCGTAGCAGTGAACTTAGGAAGTAGCATGTTTCATCATTTCCACATTTTAATATCTCTGGAATTAATAATAATTGCAGGATAAAGTTTAATGTTGACATTTAATTCAATATGAGTGTGTAGTAGACTCCTTTAGTATATAAAACTAAAGAAGATTTTGCACAATTTTACTTTATAATTTTACTTTTGATAACCTCAATTTCTTGCTTGTAGAATAAAAATCTTTTGAAGAATGTACTAAGTTTCACCACTTGGAATACTTTTTGTATTCTGTTTGTAATAGCAAACTAGGGTTTGAATTTTCTTCTCTTTTAGATTTTATGCATCCACCTTAAAAGATTCAGACATGAACTAATGTTTTCCACCAAAATTAGTACCCATGTTTCATTTCCGCTAGAAGGTCTCGATCTTCAGCCATTTCTTGCTAAGGATAGTCCAGCTCAAATTGTGACCTATGACCTTCTGTCTGTCATCTGTCATCATGGAACTGCAAGTAGTAAGTATATAGGCTTTACATTTGTTCTTAGTTTTTTTTTTAATACAAAGTAAAACATCTGAGTTGATACTTTAGATATTTAAGACATGATTGACCGAAAAAAAAAACTTTAAAAATAGATTTTACTGCTGATAGATTTTATTAAAAACATATCAAATGATTTCAGGAAATTGAATACTTTTTACTATGACTTTGGAATACTGCAGTTATATTTTGTATAAAGTTAATAAGGACTTTAACATGATCATTTTCACACTGGGTTTTTAAGATTACATTTTCTGTCCTTTAATTTTTATTTCCTTAAGTAGTGGTGAGGATACATATTGGAAATAAAAGTCCGAGGATAGTTTTTACTTTATCTCAAGCATTATGGTAGGCACTGGGGATACGTTTATCTTCTATTCTTGTGTTAATTTTGTATTACCGTAATCTTTTTTTTCCCTTAAATTCAGGTGGACACTATATAGCTTATTGTCGAAACAATTTAAATAATCTCTGGTATGAATTTGATGATCAAAGTGTCACTGAAGTTTCAGAATCTACTGTACAAAATGCAGAAGCTTATGTTCTTTTCTACAGGTATGAAAATTAACTGATAGGCTATTTTTATAAATATGAAAGAACATTTCACTTTGGGGTTATTAGTGATTTCTCACTTTCAAAATGGATTGCTTGAATAAAGGTTAGAAGTTGTTTTACTCTCATTTTTATTATGTGAGGAAAATAAAGTGTAAGATTATATGCAGAATGATCCTTTGTTAAGAAAATGTTAAATTATTTAGTTGAAGGGCAAGGGAATGTATTTTGTTTAGGCAGATGGGTTTTAATTAAAAAAAGAATAAGTACTGATGGTAGGAATTAAGTGTCAAATTTTCTTCTAAAATAGTTAATAATGGAGGAATTACTATGATAATATATCTTAGATATTTTTCCGTGTCTTATTTAAAAAAGTATTAGCTACTGAAACAGAAAAACTGATTAACTGTTTAGCTTGATCTTATTAACAAACGTTTGCCTACAGAATGTGTATATGGTACCAGAGTTATGTTGATACCAGTAGTGAAGATACAGTATCACCCCCTAGGGTATGTAATGTAGTTGAGGGAGATACAAAGTATATTGCTCCTGAATTCTACCCAAGACCTAGTAAGGCCACAGTATCAATGTTCATGCTGAGTCTAAGGAAGAGGAAAAATCCATTTACTGCTCTAAATGGAATAAAATGCATATTGTATTTAATGAATCATTGTTTTTAATAGGAAGAGCAGTGAAGAGGCACAAAAAGAGAGGCGGAGGATATCTAATTTGTTGAACATAATGGAACCAAGCCTTCTTCAGTTTTATATTTCTCGACAGTGGCTAAATAAATTTAAGACCTTTGCTGAACCTGGTCCTATTTCAAACAATGACTTTCTCTGTATTCATGGAGGTAAGAAATTCTACAGTGGAAAGTAGTGATGGGGGTTTTCCTCATGGGGGCACATGAGGAAAGAACCGAGAATTTTCCTCCTCTGTTTTCCCGTTTCTTCATTTTCCGTATCTAGAGGTCAGTTTAATGCATGTAATTCTATATGGTTTCAGAAATTGGCTTTTTCTTTCTAATTATAGGCTTCCTCTATAGCCTACTCATTAAGTGTGTATTTATTGAGTATATGTTCCAAACTCTTTGGTAGATCCTGAGGTTACAAAAGACACTATTTCTGTTCTCAAAGCTCTTAATTTCATAGTAGATAGGTATGTAAACAGCCAGTTACAAATCAGTAAGCTCTGTTATTACACGTCATTTTTCTCAATTGAGGGCTATTCCTGTGGCTGTGTTTTCAGCTATGTGCTGTATCTATGGTTCTTATCCTTTTTGTGTAAATGAAACTTGGCTCTTTTCCTAAGAATGAAAGTGTAGTTGGGATTTAACAACAACAACAAAAAACTTCAAATGTAGCAAGTAAATATATAACATATGCCTTTGTGTTTGGCTGTATTGGTGGCAATGAGTTCTGACATGAACTACCCAGAGTTAGGACAGACTTCATAGGTGAAGGGCACAGTCCTCCACAAGACTGCTCCTCACTTCAGGCACCAGCTGAAGCCCCATAAACCTTTTATGGGATTTATCTTTTTAACTTTTTATTATAATTACTTTTATAAGTGCTTCATTTCTTCTGCTAGCTCACAAGTTCTGTGAAAGAAAGGATTGTCTCTTATTTATCTTTGATTTCCCCACTATAGAATTTGAATATAAGTTAAGGCTTAATAAAGATTTACATAAATACTCAAAGATCTTGGTTAACTAAATTTTCTCTATTTCAAGAAATTTGTTCATCTTTAGGAAACATAATCACCGGAAAATGCTTTTTAAAACTTAATTTTAAACCTTTTTTTTGGTGGGCGGAGGATCTAAACTAAAGTTTGAAAAATGCTAGTGATTAAATCAGTTGTCAAAAAAATGAACGTAACCTTTGTGAGTAATATAAATAATTAAAGAATGAGAGAAACCTTTCTAAAACTTCTTTTAGGTGTTCCTCCACGAAAAGCTAGTTATATTGAAGACCTGGTTTTGATGCTGCCTCAGAACATTTGGGATAACCTATATAGCAGGTTTGTTTTTTAAACCAGACAATAGAGTATTTCATGCTGTGATGTGAAAATCAGTTTGTGAAACTGGTTAAAAGGGAGCTGAATTATTTCCCATATGTTCCTTGGGCTTTGTGCTGTGTTTATAGATTATCGCCTTGTTTTCCTGTTCACTCAGAAGTGTGAGTAGGAAGAATATGCAGCTAGTGCGACCCTACTCTAGATAATTAGTTCTCAATTTTGACATTCTAATTGTCTATGCTGTGATATTAAACTTAAACACATTATTAAAAAGAATTTTGCCTGTCCCAACCCTAAAATTTTGTGTATTCATGCCATCCTACAATTAAACATTATTCTTCCTCTTAAATCTTAAGTTTTAAATTTTAAAAACATTTTGAACCATAATTTCCTCACTAATTATGTTTTCTTTATTTGAATATGAAAATATTTCATTTTATGAATACTTCCTATTTGAGAGGTCGAGGAAGCCTCTATCTGATTTAAACTTGATTCTGAATCTGTGTATAACTAAGATTTATATGTTCCATAATTTTTGAAAGCCACTTCTTTTACTTTGTGTTTTTGTTTAACATTTTATAGCTAAAATAGATGTAAGGGAAAGTTGAAACATAGATGAAGCAGGTCAAGCAGTAAGCCAGTAATGTAGTCATTGACCCTACTAAACATAAAATCAAAACCTAATATCATTATTTGATTTTTATATTAGTTTGTCTGATTGAGAGTTTTTCTATGAAGATTTATTCTTAACTGTGGATTTAGCCATTGACTAGAAGTTAGAAACATATTTCCTAGTATGTCAGCCTTCTTCAAGATTATCATAATTTTAATTATTAAATTCTTCATGCTTTAGGTATGGAGGAGGACCAGCTGTCAACCATCTGTACATTTGTCACACTTGCCAAATTGAGGCGGAAAAAACTGAAAAAAGAAGGAAAACTGAACTGGAAATTTTTATTCGGGTAAAAAAAGTGATGATTTTCAAGTTGTTATCTAGGATAAAGTAATCTAGGATAAAGATAAAGAACTGGCAAGTAGTGGAACTATATTATATTAAAGAAATGATTGGATAAAAGAGTTGTTACAGATTTTAAGTGATCTGGGTCCATATTATGAGACCTCAGGCAGTTAACTGCAGCTCTAGTAAGTTATGTTTTCCCTTTGTGATTTTTGTTTTTATGGATTGGCAGTAAATGGCACTGGCAAGAAATCTCCTTATTAAAGGGGGGTTAATAGTGATGGAAAAAATTGCATTGATTAAGGATAGCGTTGGACAGCTGATTATTGTAATTGCTGTCAATAAGTTGTACACCTGTAAAAAGTTGAATTGCAGAAGTTGTGTGATAGATATATTTACAACGATGACCAAAAAAATAGTAGTTGCTGAGTCTGCTTATGTACAGCCAGACACCTCATGAGATTTGGTTCTTTGGTTTGGAGGTTTAGAATCATGGTTTCATGGGATATCCCAGTTCATTGGCCTACTAACATGTTTAGTGCTTCTGTTCTAGTTCATTGCATAATGCCTCGGGTCTTAAAAGCTGCCAAGCTGCCATCCCAAGGCACAACAATTAGTCTCTATTCACCTGTAGCAACAGAAGGAGGAGTCAGGAATAGGAGGAGGATATGGAATGTGTAGCTAACTGTCTCCATGAACAACTGCCTCCTTTGCCATGAGACCAGAAGAACTGGATGGTGCCTGGCTACCATTACGGAACATTTTGATTAAAGATTCCATAGAAGAATCCTGATCAAAAGGGGAAAAATGCAAAACAGAATTTCAGATTCTCATGGACTCTAGACTTTCTGAAGCCATGGAGGCTGGATGAATCCCAATAACTACTGCCCTGAGATAATCTTCAAACCTCAAACCAAAAATATCCCCTAATGTCATCTTAAAACCGAATAATAGTTTAGCTTAACTATTAAAAAAAAAAAAAAGTCTGTCTTGAGCATTATGCTCTTTTAAGAACTATCTATATAGGATCAGATTGACAAAGATTAGATAGGAACCTTAAGGGGCAGTGAGTTTATGTTAATAGGGGAGAAACAACTCAGAAAAGGAGGGTGAGAATGGTTGTGCAACTTGAAGAATATAATCATTGTCACTAAATGGTACATGTATCAACTGTTGAATTGGTGTATATTCTGCTATGTATGTTCTCAACAAGAACAACAAAATAAGGAAAATTTAGAACAAAAAGCAATACACAATAAATAAGCGAAAAAAAAGAATTAGGATACATCAGGTGCTTAAGTAAACTGCTTCTAATACATGAATAGCCTAAACTGCAAGCAGCAGGATTTCTAAATAACTGGTACTCTTGGGTTGTATCAAGGTTCTGAGGACCACTGCCATTATGACCTCATTCCTCTAGCCTATGACCTCACTAGGATTAGGAAAGATGGTAGCCACATCTCAGTCTGCGGAACCACAATTAGGGCATTCAAAAATCAAGAACAACCAAATACGTCCCGTCTTATAAAATGAGTGATAGTCATTTCTCATTAATACCAGTTAGCAGGATTTAAAAAATTAATAAATGAAATGTAGATGCAAAAAAAAAAAAAAAAAATCTCCTTATTGAAATGGTAACTTGTAGGTTTCCGTAAGTTAGTGCTATTGTGAAATCATCTATCCAGGCTATTTCTATCCCTTTGTTAAATGTAATATTGTTCTGTCTTTTGGGGGACTGTCTGTACTTATACCCAGCTTTTACAAAGTGAGTATATCACGAAGCGTTCCTTCATTGCAAGCAACAGAAAGTCTGGCCACAGAATCAAAAGGAAAAGCTGAACAACTAGGTTTTATGAAGGACAAGGATTAGAACAGTTCCTATTATCTAGGTAGCAAGAATTAAGTCTCTTCAAGGTGCCGCTATCAGTAGCACAGCTCCAACTATTAGTATCCAGATTCCCAGTAGAGAATCTAAAGCTTGGGCCAATGGAGGTATCGTTATTGATGATCCTACTGAGAGAATATTGGGAGGAGGGATGATCCTGCAAGAGAAAATCTGGATTCTTTTAGTAAAGGAAGGGGAGAAGATATTGACGAGACCAAACTAGATGTCCCGTACATCCATCTTATGGCTGCCCACTACATACACATACCTGCTTCTCCTTATTTAAAATAAACTTTCATGTGTAAGGAAGGATATTTTAGATGTGGATTTATTTTGTTTTACTTAGGCCTCATTTGCTTCCTCAACCTAAGGAAGCAGTTTTTAGTTGACTAGTAAAAATAGTTCATTTCATGAATGTTTAAAGTAAATGGCTAATGACTATCAGTCAGGGTTTGCTTAATACAAGCCATGCTAAGTATTTTGAGTAGAATATGATTTAATACAGAGGGTAAGAGACTTGTCCAACCCCTGAAAGAGCTGGGGTATGAAGGTCAAGAAGACCACTGCTGGTTTTCAGGAATTTGGAAGTGTGGTAGGCTGCCACATTGGAGGTAGGAGTGGGATCAGTGGCCCAGAGGAGAATTTCAGAGCCTAGACAGAGTGAAGAGGGCTCTGCATAGTGGTATGGTGGTATGGGCCTGATCCAGGATGTTGATGAGAAGAGATGCCCATTTTGGCCAGGGATGGCGGGCAGAGGGTGCAGTGTAGTGGCAGTGGTATCAGTGGGAGGTTTGGTTCATATGGAGAATTGACCAAATAAATAAATATATTAAGAGTAATGAGAGCCAGATTTCTCATTATCAGATTAGGGAGTAAGAAATACGGGAAGGGAGAAAAATAAACTCTGTAGTATTGAAGTTGGACTCACGGTTTTCAATATGTATGTAGATACAGAGTTAGGTGTGCATGTACACATATATAGAAACTTATGATGGACATATATTTATTCCCTACCTGTCCACTAAGAGGGTCCGGGAGCAGTGATACCTCCATAAGGAAAAAGCATACCTTACTCTCAGATCCTGGCTTCTAAATATCTTTTGCCACTAAAAGGGACCAGCCCTCCTTGGAGAAATGGCTGATTCAAGAGTTGAGGCAGGGAAATTACAAGATGAGCCCAGAACATCTTATTGTGCCAGGAATTAAAGTGCTCAAAGAATGATGGGGACAAGTCAGAAGTACACAGAAGCCAGCTTGAAGGAGCTCCTACTTGCTAAATTTGGGACAATTTGAGCTTCAAAATAATAGTAGTAACATAATAAGCCATTAAACAAAATAGGTGATGATGAGTTCATACTGACATAAATAAGTGAATAAATGGAAAGGTTGATGAGGAATGGAGTATTTCATAGTTTCACTTAGTCCCCACAAAATACTAATGACAAAGAGAAAAGAGTGTCAGTGGAGAAGCCTGGGACTACGTTAATGAAGTTAATAGAGTGAACATCATCAGTTATGGGGGAAATTAAAATCACATGCCAGCTGATAGAATAAATGAGAAGAGCACAGCATCACTTTTTTGATAACGCAAATATGCACAACCTCAATCTCAAATGAAGAAAATCTGTCAAACCCAAATCGAGGGACATCTTATAAAACAACCAGCCTGTAACTTCAGAATTGTCAGGGTCATGAAAGTCAAGAAAAGAATAGGGGAACTGTTCCAGATTAAAGAAAAGTAAAGAGGCATTAAAATTACATGCACCAAAGATTTTTAACCAGATCCTTTTGTTGTAAAGGACATTATTTGGACAAAAACTCAATGGAGCCTGAGGACTAGGTGCTAGTATTGTACCATTGTTAATTTCCTGATTTTTGTCAGTTGTGTTGTGATTGTGTAGGAGAATGAATACTAAAATATTTGGAGGAAAGGAGCCTCAATCAGTTCAGCAGCTTATTCTGAAGTGGTCTAGGGAAAAAAGGTTCTTTGTACAGTACTTAGTTTTTCTGTAAGTTTGAGATTGTTTCAAAGTAAAACAAAAGAAAAAAATTAAAAATTGCATAAAACCCCTAGAAGTTTATCTCAGCTGCCTGTCAGAAGTGATTCTAAGAGAATGCCTGGAAACTTGCAAGTTGCGGATGATGTTGATCTCAGGACCCAAATGGATTATTCTCAGGAGGATGATCAGAAGACACAGCATCGTGCTGTTAAAGATGTTAAGCTGTCTGCACCACCAAATAAGGCATTCTTGAGAAGATTCTTAGTGGCAAAACCCTATTCATGCCATTGTGGATACCACAGTCCTACCCAGAGCTTCCACTAGAGAAAAAAAGTTTTTCTTTCTATGTGACTTCCATATATTTCATGTATCATTGGCAGTATTTAATCTCAAATATTGCTGGCAAGGGCTCCTGGGAAATGTAGGCTTCTCCTCTTTCTAGGGGCATATAAGAATGAATGAATGGAACTGCTGATGCTCACAACAGACAATCCAGAACAGTCTACCTCTTTGTCAACATCCAGATGCATTCATATATGCAAACAACAGCAGTAGCAACAGTATCATGCTTTTGCCTAACATAATACACCTAGCAACACATGTTGCATTTACCCATGCCCTAAAATAGGAAGATCCAAAGTCCCATTAGTCATTACATTCGTTTCTGGATGATGGTCACTTATCTTTTAGTTCATTCAGTCCAGTCACAATCTCCTTTTGAGATCCTATAGTCTGAAGAATACACTATAAGGTTAACTACCAACAATATACCTTATATGAAATAGCAGAAGAATGAAAGAATAAAAATAAATTGGTAATGTTTACAAATATGTCCACAAAGCAAGAAAGAAAATGTTTCCGTAGCTTATCACTACTCATTCTGTAATCCCTTTGTTCCCAGCCAGTACCTCAACTGGTTGTGGTTGTGGGTACCTGGTAATGTATCCTAGACCTTCATTCCTGAAGCATCTGAGCCCTTAGTAGTCTTGGCTGTATTAGATTAGTCATTTGCTTTTACCTGCTAGACATGGAAATCTATGTGGTGTCTGCAGTGAAGTTGATTGGTGGCTCCCAAAAAGATATTGCCATTTTCTAATCCCCAGAACCTGTGAATATGACTTTATTTGGAAAAAGGGTCTTTGCAGATGTAACTAAGTTAAGCATCTTGAGATGCGATCATCCTGGATGATACAGGTGGGCCTTAAATCCAATGACAAGTGTCCTTATAAGAGGCACACAGAAGAGGAGAAGGTCATGTGAAAATGGAGGCAGAGATTGGAGTGATACAGCCACAAGGAATGCTGATAGCCACTAGAAGTTGGAAGACGCAAGAAACAGAACGTCCCCTAGAGCCTTTGGAGGGGGCGCAGCCCTGCTAACGCCTTGATTTGGATTTCTGGCCTCCAGAACTGTGGGAGAAGAAATACCTGTTTTCAGCCACCAAGTTTGTGGTAGTTTGTTACAGTAGCCAAAGGAAGTTAATACAGTGCCCTAGGTAATCGCCTGTGTTCCAGACAATCCTCCATGCTTATGTTGTGTAGCAGTCACTTTATGTACTCTTTATAATGAGGATCGATTATTCCAGCCAATACTGTAACCCCCCGTTGCCTGTTGGTTCTTTGACATGGGAAACCACAAGATCAAGGAGCAGTCTCAGCTTCTAGTTCAGTGAGACCATTGTCGTATCCCCTTGGGAACTAATTTCTCTAAATTAATAGAGGCCAAAGTTGTTGGGATGGGAAGCAAAGCTTTTGTGAGTGTGTCAGTAGGGGTAATAGAGAGACAGACTCTCTCATTACCTTTGCCTGGTTTTCAGCCTCATGTATTCTGGTTATGGGAACAACAGCACCATATATTGGTTTCTAGCTTGAGTATATACCAAGCATGATACTGTAGGACAGTATCAACCCACAAGGTGTTGCCACTCAGGCACTAAAACTGAATCTTCAATAGACAGGTAGCTTTTGGGGATGACACATGGTAAGATCAGTTAACCTTACAGACGTGAGTCCATTACTTCATTTCTTTTGTATAAAACAAAAGCAATGTGGGATACTGTGGCAATGAATGAGACATTCAGTTAGTCCAAGAATGTTGGTACTGGGAGAAGCATTATGGGTTAGGAAGGTAGATCCAAGTCCAGTGTAAATTCTAGGTATTTGCAAATCACATGTCTGATAAAAGACTTGTATCCAGACTATATAAAGAATTCATACAACTCAATCAGAAGATAAATAATCCAAATAAAAAATAAGCAAAAGATTTGAATAGACATTGTCCCTAAAAAGTTACTATATGAATGGCTAATAAGCACATGAAAAGGTGTTCAGTATTAGTCATTCAAGAAATGCAAATTAAAACCACAGTGAGATATCAAGTGGACAGTATCGTGCTAATGAGGATGCAGAGCAATTGGAACTCTCATACATTGCTGGTGGGAATGCAGAATGGTACATACCAAATGATAAAACAGTCTTGACAGTTTCTTATAAGGTTAAACATACGCTTAGCACATGACCCAGCAATCCCACTTCTAGATATTTGTTCCAGAGAAATGAAAACAGGTTCACACAAAACCTATGCACAAATTTCACAGCAGTATTGCTCATTATTGCCGGAAACTGGAAACTGAAATGTCCATCTGCTGGCAAATGGATAAACAAAATGTGTTATATCCGTATAATGGAATACTACTCAACAATAAATAAAAAGCATCAGACTACTCATGTGCAGCAACATGGATCAATCTCAGAAACATGCTAAGTGAAAGAAGACAGAAATAAAAGACTGCAATATATGAAATTTCTAAAAAGGGCAAAACTATAGAGCCAGAATAGATCAGTGGTTGCTTGGGGCTGAATGGAAGTGTTCTAAACTGGACTGTGGTGATGGTTGTACAACTATATAAATTTATTGGAAATCATTGAACTGTTTACTAACACTGAATGAATTATACTTTAATAAACTTTTTTTTTTTTTTAATGAAAACCTAGGTTATTCCCTCACACAAAGGCCTTTTTTGTTCCACCACCCATGTTTTTTTAATAAAGCAAGTGTGTTGGTATAAAATTAACACTGGAGTATGAAAATATGTGCTTTTAGTGAACCAGAAACTAAGTGGAATTTTTGAAAAATGGAAAGCAGATAGGATCAGATTGAAGAACACCACAGGAAATGACTGTACAGACTTCAAGTTTGGAAGTGGCAGATACCAATGATGACTTTGAACAAGGGAGCAAGCTTAAAGGCGTCTGTCTCATTAGAGCAGTGAATATGGACACTTGGGTCATTAAAGAAGGCATTATCAAAAGTTAAAAAAAATTACAAGTTAACAATTAAAAAAATAAAAAAGGTATTATCTTAGTTTTTGGTATCTGGAAAGAATACGATTTCCCAAATTGTGCCTTAAAATAACTATGGTTAACTCTCAGGAAGATATATAAGGATATTGCATCCTTAAAAAAACTCAATAACTGGTTTGACTAAAAGGCAGAATAAATACTGCTGGAGAGCAGTGCTGAAAGATTCAGTGAAGGGTTTCTCCTAAAATGAAGCACAGAAGGTAAACAGCAGAAAGAAAAGTTTCAATATATTGGCTAGAAACAGAATTCAGTGTTTGTCTAATAGGTATTTGAGAAAATAGAGTGAGGAACTTTAGAGTCACAATTTAGAGAAATTTCCAAGAAAAACATGTCTTTAGATTAACAGGGTGGTTGTACTTAAGTAAATTTTAAAAAGTCCCCACCTAGTTATATCTGGAAGACATTTCCTAATACCAAAGGTAAAGAGAGTCGTAATACATCTGGCAGAATCAGTCTGACCTTACATTTCAAAAATCTCAGTTCTCTGGCGACAAGTTGTACATCACAGAAAGTCCTAACTTTCAATCTGTGCCTTTAGACAAACCTACTTGGATTTGTCAACTGTCAGAGATGGCCACAACATTTTTCACTGCTCTGTGAAAGCAGCTACCTTGTATGCCAGAAAGATCTTGCCCTCAGAGAGCCTGCATTTAATAAGTAACTAAATTATATAGGAAACCCTGGTGGCATAGTTGTTAAGAGCTACGGCTGCTAACCAAAAAGACCTACAGCAGTTCAAATCCACTGGGCGCTCCTTGGAAACCCTATGGGGCAGTTCTTCTCTGTCCTCTAGGGTTGCTGGGATTCAGAATGGACTCAGCAGCAATGGGTGTGGTTTTTTTGGTTCTATTAGAAGGTGATAACTGTTATGGAAAGGGAAAATGCAGAACAGGAGATGAGGGATCAGGAGTACAGTGAGGAGGAAAGGAGTCTGGTTGCAGTTTTAAACAGGGTGGTTAAAATAGGCCTCACTGAGAAGATGGCATTTAGGCAAAGACTTGAAGGAGGTGAGGGAGATAGTCATTCAGATATCTGATAACCAGTGCAAAAGCCTTGAGAGGCAGGAATGTATGTGGTTGGTACTGAGAATAGCAAAGAAATCATTGTCATTGTGACCACAAGTGAATAAATAAAGTATTAGAAGATGAAGTTAGGTTAATGGGGCCGAATTATGGAGGGCCTTCTGGGCTATTACAAGGATCTTTCGTTTTTACTCTGAGTGAAATGGGGACAATCACAGAGTTTTTGATTGGAGGACTGACATGACCTGAAGTTGGTAGTCTTTGTCCACAGATAGCATAAACTATTTTTAGGAGTCTCACTGCCTTTTCACAGTACTACAAATTAGATAAATTCCAAACGCCCTTCATTTTTCTGAGGATCCGTTGCCTGCACTTCGTTGTTTGTGCCAATTTCTCTATCAGTTGGATTTCTTTGGTTGCAAGCAGCAGAAGTCATACTGGCTAAAATTAAACCAAAAAGAAATTCAATGAAAAGAAAAACCAAATTATTAGGTTTCAGGAGGTTTGGGAACCAAGGTAGCCCTGAGTATATAGCTAACAAGAATTGGCATTGGAATTTCATTGTGACCATTAGGACACTCCACTGAAGATTTAAATTTCTAGTAGAGTTTTGGCAGTTCAAATCCACCAGCCACTCCTTGGAAACCCTGTGGGAGCAGTTCTACTCTGTCCTATAGGGTTGCTGTGAGTTGGAATCGATTTTGGATTTTTTGGGCTTAGAGTTTGGCTTAGTGTGAGTCGTATACTCATTCCTTAGACCGTAGAGGTGGTGGAAGGGAGTGGAACATCTTTAGTGACTATCCAAGCACTTTTGAGAATTTATTCTACATGTATATGTGTATTACCTGTGAAATACATCTGCAAGATTATTCATTGTGGCTTTGTGTTTATAATAGCAAAATCTCCATCAACAGGGGACTGGTACATCTGTGCAGTGGAGTATGGTGCAGCCATAAAAACAAACAAGGCAATTGTTCTTTATTGACTGATAAGCAAATATCTCTAATATCTTAAGTGAACAAAGATAAGGTGTAGACAGTGGATATATGTTTAAATAAAATCTACGTATAAGATTTGCTATAAATGTGTAGAATGTGTATTGCTTTGAGGACTTTGCTTTGACCATCTTCACTTATCCAATTTTTTATGTCCACTTTGTGTATACTTGTTAAATTTTGAGACATAGTCTAGAACTGTTTATTAGTAGGTACCACCCCATGACCGGGTACTAAGACAAGTTAGCATCAGTGTATATTTACTGTTCCACAGTCCGTGTGTATGAGAAATTGGCCTTACCAGATGCTGAATTAAAATGATTATACTGTTCTGCTACAAAGTTCTAGATATTTGCTGATTTTTTTTCTCCCTATAGCTTAACAGAGCATTCCAAGAAGAGGACTCTCCAGCTACTTTTTATTGCATCAGTATGCAGTGGTTTAGAGAATGGGAAAGTTTTGTGAAGGGTAAAGATGGAGGTAAGTGGTTAACTGAAAAAATTCTTTGCAGATTTTTTTTATTTGGTATATACTTATTGAACATCTATATGCACTTGGGACTGTAACAGTGAACGAAAGAGAAAAAAGATCCCTTCCCTCAGGGATCTTACATTCTAGTTTATATTCTGGTTGTCTTTAATTTTTTTAACCTATCTTATGAATTACAGCATATTCATAGAAGGAATAAAGGAACTGGGCAAAATTAGTCTGCAATCTTAATATTGAAAAGTTGAAAAAAAAAATCCCTCCAACAACAGGGAATTGGTTAAATGATGGCTTATCCAAGATAATGGAATAATATGTGGACTTTAAAAATAATTTTGTATGACAATATTTAATAATAATTTAAAAGTAAGATGTTCTCGATATATAAAAAAGGTTGCAACACAGTATGCTTAGGTTGAACTCTTGTAGTAAAAAAAAAAATCACAAGCATATATCCAAACACATAAAGGCCACAAAAATATTAAACACTTTGCTTATCTTTCTATGGTGGTATTATAGTATTTTATTTCTTCCTTGTGCCTTTTTCTGGCTTTTGATAGCGAACATTCACTGTGCTTTTGTACTCAAGGAAAATCAAATAAGGTTTTTTTCCCCCATCAATTAGAAAAGAGTGTATTTTAACATTTCACTTTACGATGTTTTTAGTTTACATAACAACAATCTGAAACAAATTGAGAATTGTATAATTTCTTTTTAAATAACAGAGGAATGTTCTTTGATAGCATTAGAAGTGCATTTTAATCTGTAACTCCCACATGGGTAGTTAGGAAATCATTTCTGTTAAGAGTCTGGATGGTACTGAGACAGCCTCTTCCCTACCTTTTCTGGAGCCCTGGTGGTGCAGTGGTTAGGCATTTGGCTGCTAACTGAAAGGTCAGAGGTTTGAACCCACTAGCCGCTCTGAGGGAGAAAGATGTGGCAGTCTGCTTCTGTAAAGATTACAGTCTTGGGAACCCTATGGGGCAGTTCTGCTCTGTCCTGTAGGGTTGCTATGAGTTGGAATCAACTTGATGGCTTCGGTTTGGTTTTTAAGACCCAAAAAAGCAGCAGCTCAGAAGCAGACAGACAAGACGTAACTATAATAATCTGCCTAAAAAATTTTACCAATCTGGTTAGTTATAGCCCTAAATTATCCCAGGCACAGAATTAGGCGATTCTATCCTGCATTTTTTTGAAAAGTATGCTTTTTGATAATTTTCTTTTTTTTGGCCTTAGATCCTCCGGGTCCTATTGATAACACTAAAATTGCAGTTACTAAATGTGGTAATGTGATGCTCAGGCAAGGTAAGTTTGACTAATATTTTAAGCCTTTACTTATTGGTGACTTTTCACTGTTAAGAATATATCATCAGTAGCCATCTGTGGCACTTTTTACCCAGCTCAAAAATGTAATTCTCACATGAAGTAGGACAAATAGTGGAAAGCAGCCAGTATTTAATCTTTATCTCAGGAAAGGGTTTAAGGCTGTTGATAGGAGCTAGGAAAAAGGATCTATACCTTTTTAAGACAGACCATAAAGTTGCAGCTTAGAACAAGATGGGCTGGTAGCCTGAAGATTCATGTTCCCTAGAAGATTTATGTTCGGGTAGATTATGAAAGCTTTGTCATTCTTAGTATCCATCTGTAAGCAATATGAATCTGTAGGTTTGTGAACATTATTCTTTCTATATACGCATAACTTTAGGAGCAGATTCTGGTCAAATTTCGGAAGAAACATGGAATTTTTTACAGTCCATTTATGGTGGAGGGCCTGAAGTTATCCTACGACCTCCAGTTGTTCATGTCGACCCTGATACACTACAAGCAGAAGAAAAAATTGAAGTAGAAACTCGGTCTTTATGATTTTGAGGATATAGAGATTCAATGAGAAATCATTTTCACTCCCCCCTGCCATATACATATGCAAAAACATTCCTAAAAGCATGTCTATTTTCTTGATTTTTAATCTTTTACCCTTTTATTCCTTCTTACTGGGCATTATGGAAGAATGTTAAAATGTGTAATATGCTACAGGCTGGTATATTTAATGCTAAATAACATAACAGAGTCTCTCAGTGTAATATTTTGAAAGAGAAGGGACAGTTGTGATCAATCGGTAATCAGGTTATCTTTGATCTTTGTACTACATGCAGATCCATAGTATTCTCTTGTAGTGTTGTAAATACTTTTTCATTACCCTAAACCATAATTTTGACCAATCTTTTCAGTTTTCCAAAAACCTAATTTAATTGTATAGTTTTGACAAGGCTTCATATAATAGCCTATTTTGAGAGTAGTTGTCAGAAAACTGTTAATTTCCTAAAGCTCAGGAAAGGTTAGCTTGTTACTTCTTTTGCACTGCAGCATATAAACTAGCATATTAAGATTTACAAAATGTCTTTTGAATGTATCAAAGATGTATTTAGTTTGGATGGAATTTGTGTGAGCAGATATTAGTAACTTATTGCCTCTTAATACTGTAAAATGTTACACTTTGGTTCCTATAACTGAATAATATTATGTCAATAACTAAAAAACTTAGTTTTAGAGCACTTTTTTGAGAGCATGAAGTGTAGAATGTGTCAGTGAGATTGTTGATAAAGCTGAAGCCACTTGCAGAATGATTTTTTAATGAAATGCGTAAAATCTTTTTGAATAATGTAGTATGCACTGCTACTTGGCTCGATTATGTGATGTCAAAAGTTTAACTATTATTCCAAGTACAAAATATACTGAATTACTTTGGGGATGTTGAATAGCATTCATGATGGCTTTGTTTTGGTTTGGTGCAGCTGCCACCAGCTACAGCAGTGTTGTTAAAATTAGTTCAATAAAAACGATTTTAAAACTTACAACTTGGGTGTTGAATTTATTTGACAGACATTAAAGGTGAAGTGTATAAAGCTTGCTAATATTAATGTTATTTCTTAATCAGAAGTATGCAAAATAAGAAATCATTTAAAGTTTTCATGTTAATGAAATGACGAGCCTATTCAGGTATTTGAGGTATTTTTAATTTTTTTTTTAACATAGTTTTTAGTTTTCTTCCTAATAATTATACGATGATCCTCCTCAAGGATTGAATGGTCCTTTTGATCAGTCTCAGAATATCCAGAATTTGGTCTGATGCTTGGCCTTTACCAGTTAATCAAAATAAGTTTGTTTTTAATAGTGCTTGTCATTCATTGAATACTTACGATGTTTCAGTCACTCTACTGAAGTGCTTTACTTAAACATTTAATCATTTTTACAACCCTATGACTTAGGTTCTAAGTGACTTGCGCAAAGTCATACAGCAAAGAAATGGCAGATAGGGCATTCATCTGAAGTTAATGTGACTTCATAGGCAATGCTGTTATTCACCAGGATATATTATCTCCCAGTGAATTCTTTTGAAACTGATTATGGCATCAGTCACATTTATTAATAGCAACATCTGTTATTGAGATTAAAAAATAAAACTTGCTGCCATCAATTTGATTCTGACTCAGTAGTGACCCTATGGGACAGAGTAAAACTGCCCCACACGATTTCCAAGGCTGTAAATCTTTATGGAAGCAGATTGCCACATCTTTTTCCTGCAGAACAGCTGGTGGATTTGAAGCACCAACCTTCTGGTTAGCAACCAAGTGCTTTAACCACTGTGCCACCAGGGCTCCTTGTTATTGAGATATATAAAGAAGAATACTGGTCCCTAATCTTTTTACATTATAGCCATCAAAATATATAACAAGTAAGTAAAGGGGTAGCAATCCCCTACAATCTCAGCTGAAGGCTGCCTATATGTGGTGACACATGGGATAGAAGAAATACTTTGTCCAAGGATGATTTTCTTGGAAGTACTTAAGCTAGGGATAGTGAGATCCTGTATGTGGGAAGACAAGACTACACTGATTTATTACATAAAAATTACTAGCTTAGGCTCTTGAAGTTAGATTGCCTAAATTCAAATCCTTGTAGCTACATCAGTTTCCAGCTATGATTTGGAATACTTCTCAAGTCCTCTGAACTCCAGTTTTCTTCATCTGTTAAATGAGAATGGTGCAGGTTGGGTTTTCCAGGAAGCAATCACTGATGTAGTAGTACAAATGATTTTTTAGAGAGTAACACCAGTGAAAGATAATGGGAGGTAGCAGAATTGAACAGAAGACATGAAACCCCGATTCAGACCTGACAAAATCTCGTCAGCTACATGGGAAGATCTGGAGCTCAGGTTACCCATTAGAAGAGTTCTGCAGTGGACAGAAATGGCTAGATATTTGTGCTAACAGACTTTGTTCTGTCACTGGTTAGTGGCTACCTGCTAAAGAGAGGGACCCCAGCTTGACAGCTGAGCTGGACCTTGGAGGAGCTATCGGCTAGAGGCTGTCAGCCAACCACACTCAAAGCTGGGCAGTGAGTCCTTTTGTGAAGAGAGGTCAGTGGCACATCTCCATGTCTGCCACACTAGATCATAGGATTTCAAAATGTGCTTAACTTTTAAGGATACAACATTATGTAAGATTTCTGTAGGGAAAAAAAATCAAGATTAAAAAAAAAGACACATTATACAAAATAGCTGGCCCAGACTTCAAAAATTATCAGTGTCATGAGACAAAAGGAAAAAAAGGGTGGATTAATATTAAAGAGAATGTGACAAATAAATGCAACACGTTACTCTTGATTGGGTCCGAGGTTGGAGGAAATAATGTATACTGACCAATATTGGAACAATTGGGGAAATTTGAATAGGAAGTATATCTTAGATAATAGTATTGAATCAGCGTTAAATTTCTTGACTGTGATAACTATTCTAGTAATGTAGAGAAATGACCTTAAGTTTTCAGGGGTGAAGTCATGATACCTGAAATACATACACGTATGTGAGAGATAGAGCATGTATATAAAGCAAACGTGGCAAACTTTATTGATGAATCTATGTGAATGGTACAGGAGTTCATTATATTCTTGGGACTTTTCTGTAGGTTTGAAAATGTTTAAAGTAAGTGCAGGGTGGGGAGGAGTAAAAAAAAATAACTGCAGCCAACCCTCCTGCAAATTTTACTGTAAGCTTTCATCTGCTTCGATCCTCACAATAACTCTGTTGCTCAGAAAGGTGGTGATTTGCCTAAGATTACACACAAAGCCAAAACTTTTTTTTGTGGTGAGAAGATACACAACAAAACATCTGCCAATTCAATTTCTACATGTATATTTCACTGACATTGATTGCATTCTTCATGATGTACGACCATTACCGTTATCCTTTTCCAAATTAATCCATCATTACCATAATGCCTTCTAAGCAAAAATTCCCCCTTTTCCCCTCCCTCCCATCCCTAGAAAACACTAATAATCTTTGGTTTCTATATATTTGCTTATTTCATGTTAAGTGAAATTATACAGTATTTGTCGTTCTTTTTTTTTTTTAATTGTACTTCAGGTGAAGGCTTACAGAACAAATAGTTTCTCATGAAACAGTAGTACACATATTGTTTTATGACATTGGTTAACAACCCCACAACAAAT